AAAAAAAAAAAAAAAAAAAAAAACATCGGGAAATCTCAGGAGGGGGGTTATAAATTTAAATTTTTATTTTTTTTTTTTAATAAGGAATAAAAATTTTATTTGAGGAGGGGGGGCCACCCGGGCCCCCATATTATGTTTTTAATTTTTTGGAAAATTATTTTTAACAATTTTTTTTTTTTAAAATGGTAAAAAATATTTCCAAGGGGGGGTTAAAAAGCGGCTCCGGGAATTTGGAAAAAACCCCCTTTTTTTTAATGGAAAAAAAAAAAAAAAAAAAAAAAAACTTTTGGAAAAACTTTTTTTAAAAAAAATAAAATAAATAAAATTTTTTTTTTTTTATTTTATTTTTATTTATTTTTAATTTTTAATTTTTTTTTAGAATATAGTTACCATTTTATTTTTTGAAAAATGGATGTGATTTTTTACCTAAAATGCAAAAAATAATAAACACAAAACTAACTCAACATGAATATCCAAAAATAATTTTTAATAATAGCTTTAGAAATACGGTTTTCAGGTAAATAGTATTTGAAAATTAAAATAAAATAAAAAAAAAAAAAAAATGAAAAATCTAAATCGGGGTTATTATTATTTTGTTGGTTTTCATTTTTTTTTGTTGTAAATGATAATCCTATCTTGAAAGATTTTTACATTTTTTTTTTTTATTTTTATTTTTTCAATTTACATTATATTAATTCATCATCGATTTCCATAAAAGTAAATTATTCCAACCATTAATTTTTACAAAAAAAAAAAAAAAAAAAAAAAAGTATAAAATATATTTATTTTAATAGTTCAAAAAGAGTAAAATTTATTATTTATATTTTATTTTTTATTTTTTATTTTTATTTTATTATTTTTATTATAATTATAGTTTATTATTATATTATATTTTTATAATATTATTATTATTTTATAATTTATTTTTTTTTATAAAAAAGACTAAAAATGCCTTTTTCTGGTTCGATATGAATATAATTTTTTAATAAATTATAAATTGTTTGATCTTTTGATTTGTGTGCACAATCTAAAATTTCTTTTAATTTTGACTTTTCAAAACAAAGTTTATCTTCACTTGTTGGTTCCTTATTATTAAGGAGGAAACTATAGTTTGAATTAATTAATGTAAAGAGTGGGAGATGAGATTCATTTGCAGCAATATACATTAGTTTGTGACAGTAATCTTTGATATTTGAATCTGGTTTTAAATGGTCAATTGAATATTTAAAGCATTCAATTAAAGCTGTAATTGGTATAAAGGAGACTTCAAAATAAGCATCGATTGATTCTGGTTTCATATTGTTAACAAGTGTCAATAGATGGGTTGTGTTTGATTTAATTATCTGGAATAAAAAGTTGTAGTGGCCAATACAAGCTAACGAGAGGATTAGGTGGGTGACTGGAATAACAAAGGTTATTGAATTACCATTTTCAAAAGTAGTTACTATTTTGGCATTGTTTACTTCAATAGTTGGTGTTTCATGACAATGATCGAATATCCATTTGGTAAGGTGTTTAAGTTTTCTTTGATTGTTTCCATCGAAAAGTTTGGTGAATGTAATTTCCTTGAATTTAAATGTTGTGAAAAGTTGTATTACCGTGTCAAGTTTCTTTTGTGAAATATATTCTACAATTACATCATTATAGGTGTTAATATCCAATCCTTTTTCAACTTGATATACATTTGGGTTATTTAAAGCTCTAATTAATATGTCTAATTGTAGGGTGTTCTTTTTAACTAATGGATCTTGATTGGTAAAATTTCCTACTAAAAACTTTCTCTCTAAGGTAACCATATTTTTTTCGACAGCCTCTAAAGCACCAAGGTTGGTGAAATACAACCAGCAACGATTAAGGTTTTTGTAGATGAGATAGTCTTTGAATTTAGAATAGTAAAAGTTTGCAACCTCTGGAGAATCTAAACTGTTTGAAACATAATAGACCATTGGGAAAACACCACAAATTACAAGACCAATGGAGGATAAGCTGTGAAGATAGGTGATAAGTTCCATATTACCAGTAATTAAAACAGAGGTGTAAAAAAAGTCGGCTCTAATATCTGATCTGGATGCATTTGAGATAAATTTTTTGATTTTTGTTGTGTCATTATTGTATCTAAATTTATAAAGTTTTTTAAAGTGAACTATATGATATGGTCTTTTGATAAATAATTGAACAATTTTATTTTCATCAGTTTCGAAAATGAAATGGTGTTCTGCTGGTATTTCTATATCATTGAAATATTCGAAAAAGAGGATTGAATAGTGACGAATTGCATCCATTAGTCGATAGTTTGGATTACTAAAGTGGGATTTCAAGAGTTGCTTTATACTTTGCTTCAGTTCATCCTCGGAGAATTCATAAATGGCTTTAATGGTCTCTAGTTTTGATTTTTTATCTTTGGTACCTTTAAATTCTGTTAATAGCTCTATAAATTTCATTATATACTTTAATTTGATTTTTTTGTCATAGATATTAAAATATCTAAAATCAACATCTATTTTTGGGAAATAGTCATTTTCTCTTAGATATTTTAATATTTTAAATGCCTTGACATCTGATATGTTCTTTTCAATATCAAAATGGAACGAGGTGATTTTTGAAGTCGAAGTTGTAATTTCTTTTTTTGAAAGCTGAAAATAATTGACAATAAATTTAAATAAAAATAAATTTGAGTGGTGAATGGCAAATAGGATGGAGTTGTCGACATTAGAAGAGATTGAGGGACGATTTTTAAAAAAAGATTCAAGCAGCTCTACATTCTCTTTGGTATCCTTTCTAATTGATGGTGCCATTTCTAATAGACCATGGCTGTATATTGTATCAAAAACTAAATACCCATTGGACTTAATTTTATCTTGGACTATTTCAACCGCATTGCTATAGTAATTAAACAATGATGGAGCATATATAAGTTGGTCATATGTATAAGAGTCTTTTAGAGTAAAATTTGAAAAAATTTTGGAAAATAACCATTTATTCCTAAAGACAGACCAAAATAATGTTTCTGAACGATCTTTGCTTTCATTATTTTTTATTATATTGTTGTTATTATTCATATACATTTAAATATTATTATAATATTGATTTTATTATTTGTTGTTTTTGATTAAATTTTACATTTTTTTTTGTTTAAATAAAATAATTTTGAAAAAAAAATAAGTTTTTTAAAATATAAAGTTTTTAAGTTTTTTAAAAAAAATAAAAAATCTAATTTTTGTCTGAAAAGTTTTATTGAAAATTATTTTATTTTAATAATTTAAAATATCTCTTTTGTTGAGATGAAAAAAAAAATAAAAAATTAGTATGGTGTTCATAAAGCAATTAAACGCTGGCATTATTCAAAACCAACTTTATTTTTTTTATTTTTTTAATTATTTAAAATTAATTTTTTTTTTATTTTTTTTAGATACATTTTTTTTAAGTTTCTTAAAACTATAATTTCAACAATAAAACATAAAAAAAAAAAAAAAAAAAATAATATATTTCAATAATAATACTTGCATATTATTAAAATCGAGTTTCTTATTTTTTTTTTTAAATTAATATAAATTATTATGACCCCTGTCACCCCACCATAATTCATTTATTATTAATGTGGGTGAACTTAAAAATAGAAAAAAAAAACTAAACAATATTATCTTATTTGGGGGTTGTGGTGCATTTTCGTAGTGTTAAAATTAAAATTATTTTTATATTTATTTTTATTTTTTTTTTAATTTAATAAATATTTTTTTTTATTTTTTTTTATTTTTTTTTTTAATAGTAATTTTTATTATATGATTATAATTGGTACTTTTAAAAAAATTAATAGTGTGTGGTAATTGAAATTACCAGATGAGGAAAGAAAAAACCTTAATAAACACATTTTTTCCAATTTAATATAATAAAACATTACTTTTAAATATTTCTATAATAGAGAAAAATATAAAATATAAAGAATGAAAAATCCTATAAAAACTAAATTTTAAAATTTTTTTTAATCATTCAAATAAACATTTTATAAAAACAAATAACAATAATAATAATAATATTATTAAAAATTATTTAAATAGCATTTATTTATTTATTTATTTATTTATTTATTCAGTAAAAAAGGATTTTAATTGGATCTTTTTTTTTAATTCAAATTTTCAACACTATTTTTTAAAATAATAATAATTAAAATTTAATAATTATTTTTCAAACACAAATTTTAGAAATATTATAAAATTTATAATATTCAATAATCAATATCAAAATGGAACATAATAATCCAGGTACTCCACAGATGTCAAGTGAATTCCCTTCACATACAACCACTACCACTCATTCACAATCAACAACTTATGAAAACTCAAGTCATTTTGAAAAAGAACAAAGTTTAATGAGATGGGAACAAGATTTAAAACTCAGAGAAAATGCTTTATCCTCTCAACAAAATACTATGGCTGCTCATGATCCAAATGCTCCACATGTTGTAGTTCCAGGTCCACATGCCACTCATGCTAGACCAGCTAATTTCCCAAGTGCTTATCCAATCATGCGTCTCAATCTTGAAGAGGATATTGCCATTCGTGAATACCGTCAAATCGTCAAGTTTGGTATTTTTGTTTTCCTTTGTAAGTATTTAATAATAATAATTTTAAAAAACACTTTTATTAATCAAAAATATAAAATACTTTAAATCATTTATTATAGGGGAATCTGCTGCTTTAATCTATAATTGGGTAGTATCAATTGGTACAATTATTTATTCTGCTGTAGATAACTTTTTCCTTGCCTTGTTTTACATGATTGTTGGTGTCCCATGTTTATATTTCCTTACAAGAAAACTTTACAGAGCCTCATGTGTTCCAGAAAGAGCTAGAAAATCATACGCTTATCTCTTTGCTCTTATTGGTGTCATTGCTTTTAATGTTATGTTCTTTATTGGTTTCAAACGTTCAGGTATGAATGGTTTAATTTGGGTTATTTCACTTTTCCACAATAAACATAATGCTGTTGGTGCCATGGCTACTATTTCACTTTTCATGTGGTTCGTTGGTTTCTTCTTAGTCTGTGCTCTTTTCATCATGTACTTAAGATTAAATAACATCAAGAGACAAAGAGGTGAAATTAATAACGCTGGTTTCAGAGAATATATCAAAACTCGTTAGATTTCCTTTTAAATTAAAATTAATATAAATTAATTTATAAAATCTAAAAAACAAAAAAAAAAATATAAAATCTAAAAATAAAAAAAAAAAAAAAATAATCAATAAATATTTATTTATAAAAATATAAAAAAAATATACTTTGTAATTAGCTTTTTATTAATTATTTTAATGTTTAAATTTTATAGTTGGATATGGTAAAGTTCAAAAATAAATAAATCTTTTAGTTTAAATTAAAGTTTTTTTTTTTTTTTTTTTTTTAGAATCGTTATAAAAGGTGTTTTTATTTTTAGTTTTTAGTTTTTCCTCTAAGTGGTATTTACTATATAGTCGGTTATAGTTTGTAAATTAATGAGTTGATTAATTTCTGTTACCTTTTAATTGTTGAATTTTAGAAGCTAAGATGTCATCGGTTAAATCAGAGGATGGGCTTTCAGAGAAAAGACTAACATGAACTGGTGAGAATAATTCATCGATTGTTCCACGATGGGTAGTAAGTCTACCTTTAACTAATGGACTGACAGAAACACCAACAAAGGTGATTTGTGCGATTTTAATATTAGCTTGAGCAATTTCATCAAATTTATCAAAGGTGGAAACAATTCCATATAATACTTTATTAGCAGAGGAGTTTAAAACAGATACTAATTCTTGTAAGCCACCACTACCAGTACCAACGAGGCCCAGCTCTTCTTTATTTTCGTATCCAATTAACATCCAATTAACAGAGTCGGATGGGTTTTTAACTTTTTGAATAGCTGCACGAATTTCAGATTCGTTTTTAAATGTTAAGCCGACTGATTTGGTGTTTACTGATGGACCTGATGAGCCATGGGTAGTTCCTGATGTTTTGCTTGTTGGTGTTTTGATATTGGTGTTGCTACTAATATGGGTTGTGGTTGGTTTGCTGTCACCAGTTCTATTTCTTGATCCAGATGCATCTTGAATTTTTCCCATGATTTCAGTTTCGCTAACTTCTGACTTGTTTGATGCAATAATTTCTACATTGTAATGACCCAAAAGCTTGGTGATTGAAGTTTTATTTGTACCATATTTGGCCTTTGTAATTGCTTTAACATTATCACCAATAAAAGTAATATAAACATATCTATTGGTTGGAATATTATCAATAACATCTACAACTCTTACAATTGCATATGTCATTTCTGAATCATCGAAATGATTAACTAATTCATTAATTCCATGTGTACCTGTTGATAATAATTTGATTTTATCTGGTTGTCCATCATATCTATTGTAATATTTATATATAGTTTTAATTATTATGTTGTTTGTTTTTATTTTTTTTTTTTATTTATATATATTTTAATTACCCAACTAAAATCCAATTTGTTTGATTGTTTTCATTATGAACATTTCTAATTGCGTCATTAAATTCTTCTAAATTTGATATTTGTACTTCGTTACCACTGCTACCTGTTGTATTAATGGAACCTGGTTTTCTTTCTGCAAGGCTAAATCTTAATTCTCCACCTGACATTTTATAAGTTTTTTTATAAATATATATAAATACAATAGAATACAGTTAATAAATAAATATACAACAAACAATGAACTAATATTAATAAAAAAAAAGGATTTGGAAAAAAAAATTTATAAAATTAAAAAAAAAAATATCTATTTTTTTTTTAATTAAATTTTATTTGAAAAAATTGGTTAAAATTTTTTTTTTTACAATAAATAATAATTTTTTTTATTTAATTGGTTTTTAATTTATTAAAATAATAAAGTGATCATTTTGGTATAAACAAAAATGTATATTTTTATATGTAAATATTATTTTATAAAAAAAGATAAATAAAATTTTTTTTGGATTCAAATTTCTTTATTTTTTAGAAAAAATTCGTATTAAAATAAAAGTGAAAAAAAAGGAGCAGTGCTTTGGTTTTTTTATAATTAATTTTAAATTCAAAATGAGAATTATGGTAAACCATATTACAGTCTTTGCAAACGGACTCTATGACACATTATATACTTCTAAACTATAAATTAATTGCCTTCAATTTTTTATTTTTATGGGATTTTTTCTTTTTATTTAGAAGGTTATCTAATAATTGAAGTATTATCACTATTGTTATTAAAATCATTTACCTTATTATAGATATTAACATAATTTGTATTGTTATCTATTTATATATTTGGGTTTTGAAAAACCTTTTTTTTAAAAATTTTATTAAATAAAAATAAAAAAAACTTTTTTTTTTAATAAACCCCCTTCAGTCACACTTTAAGGGTTAATTGATAAATTTAAAAAAATATTGTTATTTTTTATTTTTAATTTTTTTTTTTTTAATTTTTTTTTAATTAAAAATTATTTAAATCAAATTTTTAAAATTAATTTTAGTTTAATTTTTTATAATTAAAATAATAAAGGAAGATAAAAAAATATTTTTATTTGTTTTTTATAATAAAATCAAAAGAATAAAGGAGGATAAAAAAAGGAAGATAGAAGGATGTTATTATTATATAGAATATTAAATTTGGGAGGAGATTATATTGTTGCATTTTCAACTGTAATTTTTTCAGTTTTGATATTGATTTTAACACCAATTTTTACATTGGTTAACTTAATCAGATATAAAACATTTAAATCTCCAAAAAATATTGTTATTACAGGCATGTATCATAGTTTATTTTAAATTATTTGATATAATAGTAAAATTAATTATTTTTAATTTTTTTTTAATAGGTGCATCAAGTGGTATTGGATATTCATTAGCATTGCATTACTCTAAACCAGGTGTTACCATTTCATTGTTTGGAAGAAATGAAACCAATCTTTTAAAATGTAAAAAAGAATGTGAAGCTAAAGGGGCTGTCGCAGAAGTTAATATTGCTGATATAACTGATAGAAAAACAATGACCAAGTATTTAACTGATTTTGATAGTAGATACCCAGTCGATTTATTAATTGCTAATGCCGGTATTTATGAATGTAAATATAAACTTTATTATATTTTATTTCTAAATATTTTTAAATATTTTTAAATATTTTTAAATATTTTTTATTTATCAAAAATTAATCGAAATTAGCACAATTACCAAATGATTTTAGTTTCGAAGAAAAAACACACATATTATCAGAAACTAATGTTAATGGTATGCTTAACACTGTTTTACCACTTTTATCAAAGTTTGAAGAACGTAAAGGTGGCCAAATTTGTATTACATCCTCATTATCATTTTATGTGGACTTTTTCTTCCCAGCTTATTCTGCATCAAAATCCTTCATCACCTCGTTCGCATTCGCCCTTAGAAAGAGAATGGCTGAATTTGGTGTAGGTGTCAGTGTTATTGTTCCAGGTTTCATTTTAACCCCATTGACCGATAGCTTCAAGAAACAAGGTTTAATGTATTTAAATGTCGACCAAGCAGTTAAAATAATTGCCAATGGAATTAAATACAATATGGCTCAAATTTCTTTCCCATTCCCAGCTTTACTTTATGGTATTTGCTACAGTATTTCACCACCAAATTTCCGTGGAGCATTCTCATATTTAGTTTCATGGGCCAATAAAGATATTCAAACCTTTGACCAAAAAGATAAAAATAATTAATAAAAATATTATAAAAAAAAAAAAAAAAAAAAAAAAAAAAAAAAAATAAAAGATGGTGTATTATAAACCTCTTTTTCATAATGACTCAAATGAAAATATTCATTAATTGATTTAAGTGCAGCAAAAATATCTTTTTTTTTTTTCTTTTTTTTGAAATTTTAGTCAAAATTTTAATTTTTTTTTAATTTTTATAATTTTTTTTTTTAATATAATTCTTGTTTCAAAAATTTTTTTTATTTAATTATTTTAATATTGTGTAATATACATATAGATAGATAAACAATATATATATATAAAGAAAAAAATGATATTATTCGAAGATGTAGTTGCATCTTTTATAAGCAACATCAATGACTATGCAATGTTGGTAGTCTCATTCCTTGGAACCTTAGTTTTATTTTTAATTGGTCCAATTCTTAATTTAATCAATATTAGAAGAAATAAAATTTTCCCAGACCCAAAAACTATTGTTATTACAGGTAATGTAAAGTCTATTTATATACAATACTTTTAATTGATTTTATTAACAATTTAAATATATCTTTAAATATTAGGTGCTTCAAGTGGTTTAGGTGTTGGTATTGCACTTGAATATTCAAAAGAAGGTAATAATTTATTAATTACTGGAAGAAATAAAGAAAGATTGGAACAAGTTAAAACTGAATGTGCTAAAAAAGGTGCCAATGTTGAAATTGCACTTATTGATATTGCAGATAGAGAAGCAATGAAGAGCCTTCTTTTAAAATATGACAAGAAATATACTGTCGATCTTGTTGTTGCTAATGCTGCAGTCAGTGAATGTAAATATTACAAATTATTATTATTAAATAATTAATAATTATAACTCTAATAGTAACCAATTTCATTTTTCTTTTTATATTAAAGTAATGTTACCAGAGAAATTAAATTTTGTAGATAGAACATATGATTTAGTTGATATTAATGTTTATGGTATGTTGAACACTGTTTTACCATTAATCGATAATATGGAAGCAAGAGGTACCGGTCAAATTGCAATTACCTCATCTTTAACAGAGATGATAAATTTTGTATTCCCAGCTTACACTGGTTCAAAAGGTTTTTGTACATCATATGGTTTAACACTCAGAAATAGATTAGCAGAATCAGGTGTAGGTGTTTCAGTAATTGCACCAGGATTTGTATACTCTAGAATGTCAGATTCATTAAAACAAGAAAGTTTACCATTTTGTGTAACTCCAGAACAAGGTGCCAAGGTTATTAGAGATGGACTTGCCAGAAATAAAGCATACATTGCTTTTTCATTACCAACACTTCTTTACACCTATTTCAATTCCATCATCCCACCAAATCTTAAAGATGGCTGGAACTATATTTCAACATTTTTCTTTTCATCACCAGATTTCAATAGAGTCGAAAAGAAAAAACAATAAAACAATATATAAAAATAAAAGATAGGGTTATCAACTCGTTATATTATATTTAAAAGAAAAAAAATGAAATCGTTTTTTTTATTTATTTATATGTTCATATATAGATATATAGAGATGAGGAGTATATTTTATTGTTTATATATGGATGCAGATAGTTTGGAAAATTTATATACAAGGTATTGTTTTTTTTAATTTATAATTAAAAAAAGTGATTAATAGATTTGAATTTGGTTTTATCTTTTAAGACATTTGAATTTTTCTATTATTGTTGTTATTATTTGGGATGTTGTTTGGTTTTTGTTTTTGTTTTTTATTTTTTGAACCAAATAATTTAAATGATTTCTGTTTACGCTCTTCAATAATTTTTGATGATAACCAATCGAGACCTTCGTAAATACCGACACCTTCTAATGTTTTAGTTGGCTGAATGTACCATTTTCTATCTCTTATTTCGTGTAATCCCAATACGTCTGTTAATTCTGGAATTTCCATTGGTGATATACAATCTTGTTTTGTTGCAAAAATCAATAAACTACAACCGCTTAGCTCTTCTTCTTTCATTAATTTACTTAATTCTGCTGCTGCTTCTTCTACTCTTAATCTATCGCTGCTATCAACTACGAAAATAATTGCTGAACATTTGTTATAGAATGGTCTCCACAATGATCTGATTCTCTCTTCTCCTGCTAAATCCCATAGCTAATTTAAAAATAAATTTCAAGTTAATAATTGATTATTAAAAAATAAAAAAAACCTAACTAAATATTTACTGTAAGATTTAAATGCTTATGTTGAATTGTTTCTACATTATATCCTAATGTTGAAATTGTTGTAACAACTTCATTTAACATTAATTTATATAAAATTGTAGTCTATAAAAAAAATTTATATTAGTAATGAAATAATAATATAAATATCAACAAAATTTGATAAATACTTTTCCTGCACCATCTAAACCTAACATTAATATTTTAATAGATTTGTTTTTAAAGATTGAATTAAAAGGATTTGATGAAGATGCGCCCATTTTCAATTTATATGATTTGTAAATTTATTTAAAAAAATAATTTTTTCTATAAAATTTTATTATTTATAAAATATATGGATAAGAGAGTGAATTGTTTTTTTAAATTAATAAAATTATTATTTTTGATATGATATAATTAATATAATATACTATTAAATATATAAATAAATATTTTTTATTGTTGGGTGATGATTAAAAATAATAAATTTAAAAAAAAAAAAAAAAATGGAAAATTAACTATTTATATAACATTAAAAAACAAAAGAAAATAATAAAAACAATAATAATAAACTATTATGTACATTAAAAAATATAATGACAGTATTTATTGTTGATGTTGTTAAATAATATATATATATGATTGAATCCAAATTTATTTTTATTTTTATATGGGTTCTGTGTGTTAGTGGGTGCTAATGTTCTAGTGAAAATGTGTGTTTGAGTGTGGGTGTGAATTTTTTGAATGTATTTTTTTTTTAATTGGAGAGGTTTTATATGTGTTTGAGGGGGTAGGTTTGTTTTTATTTTTTTTTTTTGATTATTTATTTTTATTAAATAAAGAATATATTAATCTAAACACAATAACAAAGAAGTTTTGTATGAGAATGTGATTTAATCTATTTTTCAAATATTAGTTTTTTTTTTTTTGATTATTATTATATACAAGTTTGAATTTGGTCATAACAATTTCATTAAAACTTTCTTACGTAGAAGTGTTGATAATAATACAAAAAATGATAAAAATGAACGTGGTGATGTGTTAAATACTAATATATAGTGAATGTGTGTTAGGGTGTGTTAGTGTGAATGTGTTTTGAGGTTTTTTATATTATTATATTAATTATTAAGTACAGAGTATTGAATTTCTTTTTTTTATTTTTTACTTGTAAATTTTGTGGTTGTACAAAATAGTAACGATAAATTTGAAAAACAATATATATATAGAAAAACAATTTTATAATGAAAATAAACTTGTTTCTGTGATTTGTTTTGTTTATATTTGGTGTAATGAGATGATGATGATGACAAATGGTGAAGTTGAAAATAGAATAACCTCCATATTCGTTATTTTTTATTATCATAATTGTAAGAGTTTCTTTTTTTTTTAAAACTATGATTATAATCGAAACAATTCCTTTAATTAAGATTTGGAAATTTTGATAACCAAAGAAAAAAAAAAAAATAAGATAAACCAAGAAACAAAACAAAATTGTTAACTTACATTAAACTGTAAATTTTAAAACGAAATAACTGTATAAATTAATAAATAACTATATTTATAATAAATAAAAATAAAATAAAAATAAATAAAAACAATTTAATTTTATTAAAAAATATATATATTTTTTAATAATTTTATATAAATATATTATTTGGAAATATTTGTTATAATAATATAGGTATTATTTTAAATAAAAGAAAATAAATAAAAAATTTAATGTATTTGTGATCAATATTAAATAATAAATAAAAAACAAATATTAAATATTAAATTAATTAAAAAAAATAAAAATAAAATTAAAAAAAAAATGAATTTATTATTATTGTCATATTACTCAATTAATTTTTTACTAATTCCTAAAATAAATTTATTGTTATTCAATTCATTTTTGATATTAATATTTTATTATTTTAATTGAAAAAAAGATACATAATATTATAATAATATTATTTTAGTGTATAATGTATCTATTTTTATATTTGTTTAGTTTTTTTTAATTTAAAATTAATTTAACATACACCCACCTATTAACACCAACACACTCTACTTACACTATAAATAAATATATATTAAAACAGTATATATAATTCAATATAAAATAATTAGCCAAAATAAGGGATTTCCCAAATATATATAAACTGAAGAGTAATTTAATATATAAATAATTCTATTGACATAAAAGTAAAATTATAATATCCTATTACAGTAGGAGTTTAATAATGACCAATTATATTATGATATATTTAATTTTATTTTTGAGTGCTTTTGGTTATTATAAAACAAAAAAAAAAGAATTTTATTACTATTATTATAAAAAAAATAAAAAAACCACTATTTTATTATTTATATTGAGCAATTAAATTAAAATAGTAACACTCATAATCTAAATCCATTTAAAATCTTTAGTTTCATGATTTTGAAAATAAAAAAAATTAAATAAATAAAAAATATCATTAATGTAAATTACTGTAATTTTATTTTTGTTTATAAATAGATTTCGAATTCCTTGTTTTAAAGTTTAAACAATAACAATAAAAAAAAAAAAAAAAAAAAAAAAAAATTTAAAAATATAAATTTAATTTATTTTTTTTTATTTTTTTTTATTTTTTTTATATTTTTTTTTAAATTTTTTTTCATTAAATTAAATATTGCAATTCATTCAATTAATAACAACTAATTTTTTTTTTTATGTTGTAATACAGAAAGAAGTGTGTTGTGTGTTTTTTTATTTTTTTTGTTTTTTTATTTGTATTATTTCTTTAAATTTATACATTAACTAAATATATATATTTAGTATGAGCGACAACAATAAAAAAGATGAAAGATCAAGATCAAGATCAAGATCGCCATACAACAGCAATATAAGAGCAAATGGTCGTTCAAGAGAGAGATCACCAACACCATCTCCAGAAAGAAGAAGAAAACACGACAATGACGATGATGATCAATCACCAATGAGATTATCACCAAATAGAAACAACAATAATAAAGATAATGACGATAATAATAATAGAAACTCTGGCTCAAGAACACCATCGCCAGCAAGAAATAAAACCAAATCATTTTCAAGATCACCCTCAGTTTCACCAAGAAAAAAACATTTTTCACAATCTCGTTCTCGTTCTCGTTCTCATTCCCGTTCTCGTTCTCGTACTCGTTCTAGATCAAGATCAAGATCAAGATCAAGATCATATTCAAGAGGGCGTTCACATAGCAACCCACGTAACTCAAATAAAAACTATAGCAATAATAATAAAAATAATAATCGTGGTTATAGTCGTCGTGATAGTCGTTCACGTACACGTTCACGTTCAAACTCCAGACATCAACCAAGATCATCCAGTTTATCCCCAATTAAAGTTGATAGATTAACACCTAATGTAAACGAAGAGAACCTACGTGAAATTATGGAATATTTCGGAACTGTTAACCAAGTTAAAGTTATGTACGATAAAGATATAGGTCAACCTTTAGGTTATGCATTAATTTATTTTAGAGTTAAACAAGAAAGAGACAATGCTAAAAAATTTATGGATGGTGGTCAAATAGATGGAAATATAGTCACAGCTAGATATTTAAATCCAAAACCCCCCCAACACAGAAGATATAACAATAGAGATAATAACAATAGATTTAGAGATAACAGAAGCGGTCCCATTAGAGACAATAGATACAATAGAGGTGGTGGTAGAAGAGATTACAGTCCTCATAGAAGAAGAGGTGGTAGGGATGCTTATAGTCCAATAAGAAGAGGAGGAGGTGGCAGGGATTACAAAGAATATAGTCCCGATAGAAGAGGACGCGGTTTTAACAATAGAAACAAAAGTAGAAGTAGAAGTAGAAGCAGAAGCAAAAGTAGAAATAGGAGTAGAAGTAGAAGTAGAGGTAGAGGTGACAATGGTGGAAGAGATTACAAAGAATTTAATTCAAATAGAAGAGGTGGCCACAGTAGAAGCAGATCTCGTTCTAGAAATAGACCTCACTCCAGATCAAGAGATAAAAGAAGATCCAGATCAAATGATAGATCTAGATCTAGAGGTTTTAGTCGTTCAATGAGTAGAAGCAGGTCCCGAAGTAGATATTAAAAAAAAAAAAAAAAAAAAAAAAAAAAAAAAGAAAACTTTGGCAGAGTTGTAAAAACATTAAAACCCAATAAAATTTTATTATTTTTTTTTTTTTTAAAAATATTATTAACAATCTATAAATAATAGATAATTTAGATCTCTTTTTTTTTTTTTTTTTTTTACCAAAAAGGATTTTTCATATGAAATATTATAAATAGTTTTTGATCGTTTATCACCGAATAATCGATAAAATAAAAACTAAATTTCTTTTAGTTTTTATTTTTATTTTATTTTTTTTTTATTTTTTTATTAATTTTTTTTTTTTTATTAATTTTTTTTTTTTATTTTTATTTTTTTTTAATTTAATTTTTTATGAAATTCATCCCCCCATTTATATACGCGTATGAATTACTTTTTTTTTTCATTTCATTTCATTCTTTACAAATAAAAAATAACACCAATAAATTATATATATAAACAAACACTTCACCAATAAAAAATAATTTATATAAAAAAAATAATTTAGATATAGTAAATATTAATTTAAATACATATAATAATTCAATAAAGAATATAATTTTTATTTTTAATAATGAATAGATTATCAACATTTTTAAAAAATAATTCATTAAAAAATTTAAATAAAAGAAACTTTATAACAAGTACAATAAATAACAATACAAGTATTATTAATAGTTTAAATAATAATAGTTTATTTAAAAATACAAATACAAATGCCACATCAAAATCAATCTTACATTTAAATAATAAAAATTTTTCACAACAAGTTAGAAACTATCAAAGTAAGTTTATTCATTATTTTATTAAATTTTTATTTTATTTATTATATACTAATTTAAATTTTAATTATTTTTAAAAATAGTAGGCGGTGGTGGTGGTAATAATGGTGGTAATCCAAACCAACCTCCTCAAGAACCATGGGTAAACCCAGATAATGTACCAGCTGGTGAAGCATTAAAAAAATATACAAAGGATTTAACAGAGATTGCTAAATCTGGTAAATTAGATCCAGTTATTGGTAGAGATGAAGAGATTCGTAGAACCATTCAAGTACTTTCAAGAAGAACTAAAAACAATCCAGTATTAATTGGTGAACCAGGTGTTGGTAAAACTGCAATTGTTGAAGGTTTAGCACAAAGAATTGTAAATGGTGATGTACCAGATAGTATCAAAAATAAACGTGTATTAGCATTAGATTTAGCATCAATTGTTGCTGGTGCCAAATTTAGAGGTGACTTTGAAGAGCGTATGAAATCAATTCTCAAAGATGTTGCTCATTTCAAAGGCGAAGTTATTTTATTCATTGATGAACTCCATACATTGGTTGGTGCTGGTGCTGTTGAAGGTGGTATGGATGCTTCGAATATGTTGAAACCACAATTGGCTCGTGGTGATTTACATTGTGTCGGTGCAACCACTACAAGCGAATACAGAAAATATATTGAAAAGGATCCAGCTTTAGCAAGAAGATTCCAAAGTGTTATGGTTCAAGAACCATCAACTGAAGACTCAATTGCAATCATGCGTGGTCTTAAAGAGCGTTATGAAGTACATCATGGTGTTCGTATTACTGATGGTGCATTGGTTAGTGCTTGTGTAAACTCACAACGTTATATTACCGATCGTTTCCTTCCAGATAAAGCCATTGATCTTATCGATGAAGCTGCTTCACGTTTACGTCTTCAACAAGAAAGTCGTCCAGAGAATATTGAAAATCTCAATAGACAAATCATCGTTACAAAAATTGAAATCGAAGCATTAAAGAAAGAAAAAGATCAAGTATCAAAAGAAAGAAGAGAGAAATTAGAAAAAGATTTAGCTGAAAAAGAAAAAGAAAATAGTCGTTTAACTGAAATTTGGAGAAAAGAAAAGGAACAATTGGAAGTTAGAAAGACTGCAGTCGAAAAACTCGATAGAGCTAAAATCGAATTACAACAAGCCCAAAGAAAAGGTGATCTCGCAAGAGCTGGTGAATTACGTTATAGTATTATCCCAAATTTAGAAAAACAAATTCCAAAAGAAGGTGAAGAACTCAACCATCTTTCAATGATTAGCGAGGCTGTTACCGCTAAAGATGTTGCTTTGGTAATTTCAAAAGCAACTGGTATCCCAGTACACAGTTTGATGATGGGTGAAAAAGAAAAACTCTTAAAGATGGAAGAAGAATTATCCTCATCAGTTGTAGGTCAACCAGAAGCCGTCACTGCAGTTTCAAATGCTGTAAGAATCAGTCGTGCTGGTCTTCATAGCCACAATCGTCCATTGGGTTCCTTCCTCTTTTTAGGTCCAACTGGTGTAGGTAAAACTCAATTATGTAGAACATTAGCAGAGTTTATGTTTGATAGTCCAAACGCTCTTATTCGTATCGATATGTCTGAATACATGGAGAAATTCTCTGTTTCACGTCTTATTGGTGCTCCTCCAGGTTATGTTGGTTATGAAGAAGGTGGTACATTAACCGAAGCTGTTCGTAGACGTCCATACTCTTTGGTATTATTTGACGAGTTTGAAAAAGCTCATAGAGAAGTCTCAAATCTTTTACTTCAAATTTTAGATGATGGTCATATCACTGATAGCCAAGGTAGAAAAGTTGATTTCAGAAATACAATGGTAATCCTCACTTCAAATTTAGGTGCTGAAATTTTAGCAAATCTCCCAGATGGCACACCATCATCCACTGCAAGAGAAGAAGTAATGGATGTTGTTCGTAGTCGTTTCCAACCAGAATTTTTAAATCGTATTGACGATATCATCCTCTTCAATCGTTTATCACGTAAAGATATGGATAAAATCGTTGATATTCAATTAGAAGAACTTAGAAAACTTTTAACTGAAAAACAAATTGCTTTGGTTGTAAAAGAAGATGGATTAAATTGGTTAGCTGATAAAGGCTATGATCCAATCTATGGTGCTCGTCCATTAAAACGTGTGGTCCAAAAATTCTTATTAAATCCAATGGCTAAAATGATTTTAGAAGGTCAAATTAAAGAAAATCAAACCATATTTGTTTCAGTTGATGCCAATACAAAAGATTTATCAATTAAATCTCAATAAAAAAAAAAAGTTATTGAAAAATTCCAACTGTGTAAATAAATAAAAAATAAACCTTGAAAAAAAAAATAAAATAAAAAAAGTTTTTTACGACTTTAAATTTTTTTTTTTTTTTTTACACCAATAAATAAACACTTTTATTTTTTTATTTTTTTTATTTATTAATATTAGTTTATTTGTATTTTTTTGTGTAACCCAAAAACATGATTATTGCCAGTATATGTAATTGCTGAGTTATTTAATTTAGAGAATCGATGGTTTTCATGCAGCCCAACAAATTGAGCATGAAAAAAAAAAATAATTCATTTTTTTTTTTTTAAAATTTTTTTTTTTAATTGAATGAAATATCTTAGCTCGAAACGCTCAAGCTTTGACTTTTAATTGAAGGGTTTTTTTTCCACCTATTCAATATTTGTTTTGGTTTTAATTTTATTTTTATTTTTCTGTTAAATAGAAGAAGTTTGGAATTTTTTTTTTCTTTTCAATTAAATAAAAAAATAGTTAAATAAAGAAATAGTAATATTAATAATAATAACCATTATAATCAATTTATTAATACTTACAACCTAAAAAATTAGAAATATATTAGAATAAAAAAAATGTTGGATATTTTGTAAGTCTTAAATTTTTATGAAGATTTTTTTCCTTAATTTTTAAATTTTTTTTTTTATTTTTTAAATTTTAAAAAATAATATTTATTTATTTTTTTGTTTTGTTTTTAAATTTGTGTGCCTTATTTTATTTTTAAATCCCTAATACATTATTCTTATTTTCTTTTATTATTTTCATATTCATTTTTTTATTATTTTTTTTTATTTAAAAAAATAATAAATAAAGAATTAAAATAATATTTGTGTATACCTTAATGTTTTATATAATAATATATTAATAAAAAAAAAAACCTTTTTTTTCTTTTTTTTTTTTCTCCATTCTATGTTTATAATTAAATAATTATCTATAATAAATAATAATAATAATAATAAAAAATAGAGATAATAATACAAACAATAAAATGGTAAATAAAATTGAAAATAACACATGTAATATTGGTAATAATACTAATAATAATAATATTGAAGAAATCGAAAAACATGTTAAAAGAACATGGGAAGATTTAAAAAATATTATTAAAGAAGGCAGATTAGAAATTTTAGGAAGAAAAAATAAAGATCAACTCGATATGGAAAGACATATGAGCAAGGTTAAATCTGAATTTAATTCAGCTAAAGATTATATAGATTTCAAAGTATTCCAATTCCCAACAGAATTGAAAGCTTTTGAAAATGAAGAAACAGGTTTGGTATATCAAAGAAGAGTATCAGTTAGACCAAATAATATTGAACAAAGATTAGTTATCAGACCAAACGATTTCCCATACCATTGTGATGCAGATATTTCACATTGGGTACTTTGGTGTTTAAAACCATTAACTTTTGAAGAGGCTAAAGAGTTCATTTCAAAAATCTTCAAAAGAGAATATGCCAACGATAATGATGGTTTCATCTTCTTTGTTAACCCAGAGCACTTGCAGAGTATCAAAGATATATTCCATTACCACGTATTCATAAGAAATATAGACTACGACATCATGGAATACATGGACTAATCCATCGACTTTTAGTATATATAAATAAATAGAAAAAAAAAAAAGAAAAAAAAAAAGGAAAAAATCAAAAAAAAAAAAAAAAAGATAAAAAAACAAAAATACAAAAAAAAAATTAATAAAGAGTTGGTTATATGTTATATTTATATACTATTTATTTATATATATTAAAAAAAAAAACTTTTAAAAAAAGAAATTATTATTTCTTTTTTTCTTTTTATTTTATTTTACAATAGTTTTAGATTTTTGGAAATGTAATTTTTCTTTTAAATAATGATAATGAACCTTTGTGTTTTTTTGAATTGTTTTGAATTTTTAAACTATGATTTGAGGGGGGGCCATAATCTGATAACAGACCATTTGAAATACCTGATAAAAGATTCTCTAAAAATTTTTTTGTTGTTTTATGGTAGGTTTGAACATGTTGGAACGATTGGGTTTCAAACATTTGTATTAATTCTAAACCTGAATATTGTTTATTATCTTCTTCAAGGGAGGATGTGGAGGATGATAGTGACGAGCTATAATTATGGTTATCGTAGGTATTAAAATCTAAATTGCTATTGCTATGATTGATTGGTGGATTAAATGATGAGGGGGAAGATAGGCGTGAGATCGCTGTTGGGTATTTATAGATATATCTATGATAGGTTGTTATTTCATCAAACACAATTTCACAAAGGTGTTCAGTACTTTTTTCTAAATCTTCTTGTAAAAATTCGAATAGTTCTCTTTCTTTGTTATCTTTAATATAGTAGCCATAGACATAGGTGTTTTTTAATGTGTGTCTGCACTCTAAAATTAAATTCATAGCTTCATATATAAATTGTTTACCCACCTGTATAATTTGTAGATGAAGTTCGTTAAGAGGTAGTTTTAATAGTTTGGATTCATCTAGTTCAAGTATTTTTAATTTACCCATTGCGTATTTCTTAGCATTTTGATGATAATTATAACGTTGGAAATGATGTGCATATGTTCCAAAGGTTTTGTCTAAATCTGGTGTATCATGTTTTAATGGATCATAACGATTACATGAAAAAAAGCCACCTGTTCTGTCTCCATGTTCTGACCAAGGACCTTTACATAGCCAACAAAACTCTGCTCTGCAACTACTACAACACATATGCATACAGCCTTCATTTTTTTCTATATGTACTATGATAAAATAATGTTTATATTAGTATTTCAAATATTGAAAACAAAAATTATTATATAATTATAATTAATTACTTACTTTTACATTTTGGGCATTTTTTGGTATTGTGACTTAACCAGATAGCGTTTTGACCCTCTTCTTTATTTTTTAAAATTTTCCAATCATCTAATTGATTACATAATGCAGGCATATGATATTCTTCACCACAATGAAAACAAAATCTCCAATTACATGAGCATGTTACATTTAATATTTTTGGTAGGTCGATCCCGTGATAGTGTATTGCCATATTACATGATTGTGGATTTGAGCACCAAGTTGTTTTTTGATTATGTTCAATAAATGATTTAATATAAATATATAGATACCTACAATAAACTTTATCATTTAATATTTTTCTAAAATTTAAAATATTTAAAACCAATCTATTATTAAAAAAAAATTGTTAATATAATTAAAATTTTGAAAATATTAGTATTTACCAACTTACTTGCACTTTGGTTCTATACATCTTGAAAATAAACAAGCAGGACCTTCTTCAATTTTGGTTGTTAAGTATGAATCCCAACAATCTAAACAATAGCTATGTTTGCATGACAATGAAAATGTATTTGATTTTGGCGTTTCAGTTAAGCAAACATTACACATTATTTCTTCCTCATTTTCTTTGCCTATGTTTTTTTCTTCAGTTTTTGTTTCAATTTCTGTTTTTGGTGATTTATTTTCATTATTAAAACTATAATAAATATTTTCAATGATGTTATTTTCTATATTGTTATTGTTTACATTTTCATTTTCATTTTGGTTAATATTATTATTATTTATATTGTTACAATTATTATTATGGTTGTTGTCGTTGTAGTTATTATTTGTAATATTATTGTTTATATTTTTATTTTCATTTTCATTTTCACTTTCACTTTCACTTTCACTTTCACTTTCGCTTTCGCTTTCGCTTTCACTTTCACTTTCGCTTTCGCTTTCACTTTCGCTTTCACTTTCACTTTCGCTTTCACTTTCACTTTCACTTTCACTTTCACTTTCACTTTCATTTTGATTATCTTCATTTATTATTGCGGCACCGTCTAAATTTAAAATTTCTTCATCTGCACCATCTTTTTCCGAATATTCATCATCCTCGTTTGAATTGTTATCATTGATATTAACCCCAGTATTGTTGTTGGGTTGAATATTATTTTCATTACTGTTGTTATTTAAACGTGTTGTTGGAGGGGTTGGAAAATTAGTTTCACTTTCTCCACTTTCGCTACTAATTTCATTGTTAAATGTATATGTACTGTTTGTTTTATCAATTTCTTCGGTTGTACATAAAAATGAATTATCAGAGCTTAATGACATTGGATTTAAATTGCTACTAATGTATGGGCTATAGTTGTTGGTAGTTGAGGTGGTTGTGGTAGTGGTAGTAGTTGTTGTAGTTGTAGTTGTAGGTGTAGTAGTAGTAGTAGTTGTAGTTGTGGTTTTTTCATCTTTTGAATTGTTTTGAGTATTTTCATTTTCATTAGTATTTCCGTCACCTGAGATTTCTAAATTATTAACATTTCTATTGTTTATATAGTACTCAAATGGTTTTGGTTGGACTTGTTGTTTTGTTATGAGTTCATTATTATCTTTTTTTAGCATCTTTACAAAAGCTAACCTTCTTACTGGTCTAGGGCTTGGAGGTGGATTTGAAATATCATATTTAATATCTAAAAGTTTATTATTGGGTACTATTTTTTTATTACTATTTATATTGTTGTTATTGTTTATATTGTTAAAGTTATTTAAATTATTATTGTTATTATTTATATTGTTTAAATTACTATTAAAATTATTTATACTTGAGCTGCACATTTGGTCCTTTTTTTCACCTTCTTTTTCTTGAGAGGCTCTAAGTTCCATTTGACGATATTCATTAAGTTCTTTAAATGTATGATTTGATTCAAATGAATTTGAAATGTCATTAAGTTTGTTATAAATATCATCTATAGTTTCTTCAAAATCATCGTTTGTATTAATTTCCATATTTGTAGTTTGTGAAGATGATTGAAATGGGGGGCTATTTATTATTGCTTTGTTAAGGTTGTTTAAATATTGGGTATTGTTAATATTGCTTATCGACGAGGAAGGTAGATTCCATGCATTGATTGTAATTGAATTCATATGGTTGTGGGTCCTTGCTCTTATATTTGGTATGTAATTATTTGCAATGTTATTATTATTGGTAATGTTATTATTATTATTATTATCCCATCTAACTCTTAGGGGTCTTAAAGATGACCTTATTCTTTGCGGTGAGTCTGGGAACATTATAATTTCATTAAGAGTATTATTAAAGTTTTCGTTATTTGTATTTGATGGTGGGGTATTATTATTTGGTATTATATTATTAGTGGTGCTTACTGGTGTTAAGTTGGCGGAATTTATTGAAGATGGAGAAGAGTTAACTAAAAATTCACCACCTTTTTTTAAATAGCTTCCGATTGGTAATAATAGATCAATTATTTTTATATTTTCTTGTGATTTTTCGGTTGGGTTAAAAACACCTGCTTCTGCAAATAATACTTCATCTCCTTTTTCAATAAAATTTAATAATAAAGTCTCCATATTCCATTTGTAGTGAATCAGTATTGTTGAGGACGATGGTAAGTCCAAACCTAAAATTTCGGATGCTCTACTAACTTGTTCTTCAAGAATATATATAATATCTTCCATTGATATTACACATACATTCTTATCATTCTCTTTTGTAATTGTATAGCTTTCGGCATTCTCTAATGAATACCAATTAGAATTTGATGATGATGATATATAATTTGTTGTATTATTTACAGGAGTTTGTTGATTTAAAATTGATGGTGATACAATTGATGATGATGATGAAGGGGATGATGAGGAGCCATTATTGTTTTTATCATTGTTGTTTATTATAGATGGGGAAAAAACTGTATTGTTATCGTTTTTGTTTTTTGAGGCAATTCTTGGTAAAAATGCAGTATCGTCTAGAGTATCATCGATTATTTCTTCTTCGTCACTTGTTCCTTCTTCATCATATTCATAGTCTAAGTTTTCATCATCGGTATTGTTAATTTCATCTTGATCATTTCCTAAATCTTCATTTTCTTTTTCTCTGTGAATATTATTGATATTATTAATATTATTATTGGTACTACTATAATTATTATTGGTAAAGTTGCTGTTGTTTGGTGAAAATATAGGTGATTTTGAACTTGAAAATGAAATTGATTTTAATTTTTTTCTTAATGAAATTCTTTTCTTTACATGTATTGCAGTATCTGATAAAACTCTTTGTTGCTGTTGTTGTTGTTGCTGTATTTGGTTGGTGTGATGTTGTTGCTGCTGTTCAATTTGTTGTGGTTGTTCATCATTATATTGATTGCCTCTAATCTCTTTACTATTATGTACACCCATATTATTTTTTTAATTTTATTTTTTTTATTAAAACTATGGACTATTTTATTAAAAAAGAAATAAAAAAAAATTGTATATTTTTATTTATTTGATAACAAACCATAATAAAATTAAAAACAAATATTACACAAAAAAAACAAAAAAAAAAAAAAAAAACAAAATTTTTAATAAATTTATTTTTATTATTATATATAAATTAATTTGGTATATAAAAAAATAAGATACAGATTCTACTATAAGTACTACTATAATGTGTCAATGATATAAATTAAATAAAAAAATTTAAACAAAGTATTAAAAGAAATCTAGACTTTTTCTATATTATACAACACACACATAATAATAATAATAATACACATATAAATTATTTACACATATAGAAATACAAGTTATAATTATTATTATATATCACAATTAATTATAAATATAAACTATTATATATATATAAAAAATGCTTTTAAATAATATATAATGCTATTAAAATTTGATTTTTTTTTCATTTAATTTTTTTTTTTTAAAATTACAAAAAATTAAATAAAAAATAAAATTTAAATTAAAAAAAATAAAAATATAAAAAAAAATAATTAACTCACACACCCACACACCTTTTTTTTTTTTTTTTTTAATTATTTCTTTATATGTATATCATTTAGAAATAAACACATTTTATTATAAATAACAGATGAAAAATAATCAAAAGACACAACCAACCAAAAGATAAAATCAATAAATAACGAGGATTAATCAAAAAAATAATTAATTATTATGATGATTAATTATGTTTGTTTATGGGGAGGGTATGAATTATTGATTACTATATTAATTAATAAATATATAAAATTAAATAATAAAATTTTTTTATTTATTTTTTTATTGTTTTGGCATGTTTTGATAATTTTGAAAATAAAGCTATTTTTTTGTTGGGTTGGATCGGGCCATGCATTCTTCTAAGCTTTAAATTTGGGTTGGTTTTGGGGTGATTAGTTGTGATTTTATTATTATTATTATTATTGGTTGTATCGTTATTTTTAAAATTAAAGATTGAGTTTTGTAAAGATTTTACCTTTATTTCTAATCTATCAATTTCTAATTTGTTTTGTTTTTCTTGTTGTTTTAAGCTTTTTAATTTTTTTGTTAGTTTTTCGTTGATATCTTGCTGGATTAAAAAGTGATCATAAAAATTATAATTATTATTATTTTTTGATTGTTGGTGAATTTGTTGTTCAAATTCAATCAAAAGCTGCTGCTGTTTTTCAAATAATTCTTCAAGTGATTGATTTTCTTCTTGGTAGCTATTTCCTTCACCCTCTTCATCTAAATGTGGGGATATATCTTCTGTTGATTCATCATTATACAGATGCTTTTTCTCTTCCCTAATAAATGATTTTAAAAATTGAACTAATTCTATTTGTTTATCTTTTTTTATTCTATCCATATCATCAATATTACTATTGTTATTTTTGTCGATATCAAAATTATCTGTATTATGGTTATTATTTTTGCTATCTATGTTATTGGATAAAATTTGATTATTGGTTTTATTATTTACACTATTACTATCGATATTATTACTATTGCTTGTATTATATTCGATGTTATTATTATTATTATCAATACCACTGCTAATGGTATCAACATTATTATTATTACTTTTATTATTAACATTTAGGTTATTAAAAATATCATTTATATTATAATTGGGGTTATTTATATTATCTTTTATAAGTTGTTTTAAATCTAATTTAGCTAAATCTACATTTTCAAAGTTTTTTTGATCTAAAATTCCCTTCAAACTTTTTAAAAATTCTATTCTTTTTTTCCTTTTTTCAATTTCTTTTGAAGTATTTTCCATTGAAAGTTTTTTCTCTACATAAATTGAAACGATTTTGATGATTGGTTTTGGAACTTGAAAAGATGTAAATATAAAACCTTTAAAGAATGGATAAGATCCAATATTTTTACTAATTATATTATCCAATCTTTTCCTTTTAACTGCTAAAAATTTACTCTTTCTCTTGTTTATATAATGTCTAAATAAATCTGTAAATAATGATACCAATGAAAAGTTATAATCTAATTTCAATCTTTTTTCATTATAATCTAAAACACAAAAATAAAATGGTATTAATAAATGTAAACAATTTTAAATAAAATGATTATAATAATAACATACAATTTCTAAAAGAGTTCCATGAGGATGAGGGGATATTGGCTTTAAGTGAGTGTATTTGAAAATCTACAATTGTAAAGTCTTCGGGTATATCCAAAAGTAAAAGATTAATAGATTGTGGTGATACTAATAATACTTTTTTCGATGCAATATATGGATTTACTAATTCTAAAAACTAATAATAATTTTATTAATATGAATGTAAATAGAGTTGTTGTTATTGTTTCTGTTTTATAATTGGTACACACCTTTTTATTTGCATTTGTTATTCTTTTATAAATATTTAAACTTGGGTTATCACTTGATTTAAGATTTGGCAATAATAAAGTTTGATTAAGTACAATTTTATTTGATGAAAGACTGATTAGTGAGAATTGAAATGAGTCAATATCATTTGAAGTAAATGAAAAATTTACAATGCAAACATGTGAATATTCTGAAATTGGATCGGAGTTATAAAAATTTTCCATAAAGTTTTGTGGAAATTCTTTATTATTATTTAAAACATTACTATTATTATTATTATTATTATAATTGTCGATATCGGCATTAGAATCATCTTTAAAAATTTGATTTATTTCTGTGTGGTATGTCTCTTCCACTGTGGGAGTTGGGTTTATATTACTTTCATTATTGTTGTTAACGTTATCTTTCATCTTGAATAATCAAGACTTATATATATTAATTTTTTATTTAGTATTAGAATAAACACACACAACAAAAATAATACAAATAAAATGAAATGAAAAAAAATATAAAAAATTGAAATGTAAAAAAAAAAAAAAAATTTTTAAAAATAATTTTTTTTTTTTTCAAAAAAATAATTACACAAAATGATCATATTATCTATTTTATTTTAATTTAAAAATTAATTTATTTAAATTTAATTTTTAGATTGATTTTAAAAAAATAATAGTATACTATTTTTTTTTTTTTTCTAATATACACAAATAAATAATATATTTTTTTTTTTTTATAGAATTATGGTTGATTTTTAAATTTGATGGATTGTAATGGTACTAATGGGGGGGTTTGGGGGTAAAGTTTTTTAAATACAAATTGGATCACCTTGGTTTGGAATAATAATTTTAATACTATTTGTATTTGCTTTCATAAGTTGATTATATACTAATCTTTGAGCTGTTAAACCATAATCACTTTTGGAGACTTGTGGTTTGATATGTTCAATAATTAATTTTACATGTTTTAAATTTTTCATTGGTGGTGATGTTTGAATTGATTGGATTAAGAGTTGGTCCATTAGCTTCATGATATCTCTTGGTCTTAAATGTCCAAACATAACGGTATCGGCAGCATCATCCAAGAAAGAGGATTCAATGTAAACGGCTTTTAATTTGTCGATTTTGATAGTTCTCCAAACATCAAAGATTTTATTTTCCCAATCACAGGTAGCTTGGAAGTTTGATGGAGATGGTACACCGGTATCAGAGAAGAAAACGATTTGATCACCAGTTAAACTATCGGTAAATACGAATGCTGTTGAAATAAGAGTATCGTGACAAATATCGTATGGGGTAACTTTTAAGTTGTATGGGAACTCGTTGATAACTGGGGCGAGGATCGATGTATTGTAAGCTGATAGACTAGAGAATGCATATTCACGTCTTGGCTCGACAACATAGTAGTCAAAGAAACCGAAAAGTGGAAGAGTTGGCCATACTTTACCATTGAAAAGATCGTCTTTAATAGATTGAATGGTGTTGGTAAGACCTACAATGGTTTTCATTTGAAGGACTGAATTTGGGAATACATAGTTTTTCTTTTCTAATTGCATTTTATCGATGAGACCGAGGAGCCCTGTTTTAATGGTACTGTTAAGCATATCTTTCTTTAAGGTATCTTCTGGTGATTCAATGATTAAGCCTCCAACATGATCAATGTGACTGTGGCCAATAAAGTAACCATAGATGTGATTTTTGATGAACCAGGTTGCACGTTGTTCTGGAAGTATAGCCCACTCTGGATACTCGATACCGAAATAATTATTGAATTGATTCATTGTAGTTAAACGACGAACACCTTGCCATATGGTACCTGCATCTAATGCAATAAAGGTATTTGATCCCTTTTTAGTAAGTAAAAACGATGAAAGACTTCCTTCATTTAAACCACCTGTTGTGCCTAATGGGATTGTTATATATTTTGCATCTTTACAATATTTTTCAGAAAATGATCCACTATAATAATTATAATTTTCTGGTACATAGTAATCATTTAAATTGGTGAATCCTTTTCCCATATTCTTTAAATTTCTTAAACTGTCATCTTGATCTTCATGACAATTTATTAATATTATTAAATTTAATAATATTAAAAATAAAAATTTATTTAATAAAATAATCATCTTTATACTAAATAAAGTTACTATTATTTAAAAAATTATTAAATTTATTTATTATTGTTTTTTTTTTAATAAGTATGGTACAGTAGTATTTTTATTATTTTTATTATTTTTATTATTTTGTTGTTTTAAATATAATAATTAAAATTAATAAAATATAATTTATATTCTTATTTTTATTATTAATCGATTATATTTTATTTATTTTCTTTAAATAATTATAATATATAAAAAAAATTGTGTGTTTATAATATTATTAATTAATCTTTTTAATTTAAAAAAATAATTTTTATTATTTGATTGGATTGATTTTTTTTTATTTTTTAATTTTTAATTATTTTTTTTTTTTATTTTTTTTTTTGAAATTATGTATTTATATTTTTTTTTAAAAATAATAAAAAAAAACAAAAAAATAAAATAAAATACGATAAAATATTTGTTGTGTGTGTTTTATTACAAATTATTATTGTTAAAAATAAATTAACTGACTTTTTAAAAGAAAAAAAAAAAAAATTCTTAGTGTGGGTTTTTCTTTGTGTTAAATAATTGTGTATGTTATTTTAAGGGGGTACACAATGGTATAATTAGATATATATATTAATTGTTGTGTATGTTTTGTTTTGTGTGTGTGAGTGTGAGTGAGAGAGAGAGTGATTAAAGATAGGTGGTTTCAATTTTAGTTTTTTTTTTTTATTATAAAAGTTTCAAAAAAAAAAAAAAGTGTTTGATTAAAGAAAAAAAATAAAAAAAAAAATATATTTTTTTAATTTAATATATTTTGAGGGGCACGCATTTTTTGTGTGAGTGTGTAAAATGTGTGGTTGGGTGTGTGTGTAATTATAAAAAACAGTTTCTCAAGAAAATGAATAAAAATAGCACGCATAACATTATTCAATAATATCCATCTTGGAAAAAAATTACAATTTTAATTAAAATTTAAAAAAAAATTTAAATTTTTTTTTTTTTTTTTTTTTTTTCAATTAATTACATCAGAAAAATTGGAATATGGGGGGCCGGAAGAATGTGAAACATTTTTTTTTTTCAGGTTTTTTTTTCGTGTTTAGATATATCTTACTTTTTGGATATGTGGTAGTGATATATTTAACATATCACCAATAAATCACACATGTCTCAATTTTATTATTTTTTTATTTTTATAATTTTTTTTTATCAGGTGGGAAATTCTCTTTTTTTTTTTTAAATTTAATTCATTTGTGTGTGTGTGTAAAGTTCACCAAACAAAATCTTTCAATTACCCTTTTTTTTTAAAGTCACCTAAAATTTTTTTTTTTTTTTGTGATACCATAGAAGAGAATAAGTGAGACAAAAAAAATATTAACAGCAAAAATTGGTATTATATTTTAATTGAAATCATATTTTGGATAATGGAATTTTAGAGTGGTATTGAGATAGGGTTATTATAGATTTATAATAATTGAATTCAATAAAAATTGGTTCCATTTCGAAATATTTTGGTATTTTTTATTATTTTTTTTTTAATTATTTATTTTTTAATTTTTTTTTGCTTTTATCAATATTGTAATAAAATTCATATTGTTTTTTTGTGTTTATTCATTCTTGTGTTTACTTGATAAAACTTAATAAATAATCATATTTTATTTTTATATATATGATGTAAATTAATTAATTATTATAAAGTTGAATGAAACATTGTGTGTTTATATAAATTGTGTAAAGTGTTTTTATTTAGTTAAGTTTAAAATGGTAAATTAAAATATTTTTTAAAAATAATTAAAAAATTTCTAACCCTAATTTATTAATTAATTATAGTTATTTAACAAATAGTGATATATTTTTATTACCCACCCCCTGCCGATTGCACAAGAAAATGTCAATCAATGTTGTATCTTTATTCCCAAATTATCAAATACACTCCACATCAAGAAAAAAAAAATTAATAAATGCAGATGTGTGTGTTAACACACATTTTTTTTTAAAAAATAATATAACAAATTTGTATTTTTATTTTAAAATTAGGTTAAAAGTAATTATTTTGTTTGATTACTAGTATCATCTATTTCAATTTCTAAATTATCATCAATTTCTTCATCATTTGTAATGGTAATTGTTGAGGTTGTATTGGGTAGTTTTGAACTGGTTCTATAGATTTTTCTTAGTTTGACGGGCCTGTGGTTATCATTATCGTTTTGGTGGGTGTCATCATCAACAGTGGGGGTTATTTTATCTGGACAATATTTTAAAAATAAAAAACACCAAGACACCTATACAGTGCACCTACTACAGATACACACTACGATATATACACTGTGATGTCCTACTTCAGTGTACAAATCGCCACTGTACCATCATCACACCCACATTACCTGTGTGGTGTACAAATACCATTTTTATTACAAATAGCATCATCCTATCACTTATGACATGCAACCACTGAGGCAACTTTCACACTTCGATCAATGGGACAGCTTTCACATTGTGAGATACTTGTATTACAAAATTGATTTACATTACAGCTATTTAAACATTGCTTTACAATATTTTCTTTAAGATTTAAATTTAACGTAATTTGTATAAATTTTTTTTCATTGATTTTCAAAATTACAATTACCCCTCTATCATCGCTAAATTCAGGGTTTTTCAAATTACAATTAATTTCATTTTGTGTGGAGTTTACTATGCCACATTCATTAGCCCCAATAAAAACACCTGAGTTATTTTTTAAATCTGATAAAAATTCTCCTTGGAAACCAAAAAACCATGAAATATCATTATTTATATCTATATTTTTATTATATATAACTTTATCTATAATAGGATCACTATTTTGACCATTTATATTGATTATAAATAAAATAAATACAATTAAAATATAATAATGCTTTTTTTTCATTTTTTATTAAATAATATATTATTTTTTTTTAAATAATATTTATTTTCTATTTTTTTCTTTCAAATCTAAAAAAATTATTAATAAAGAAAAAAAATTAAAATTTCTATTATGATAAAATTTATTTTTAAAAGATATTTTTTTTTTCATTTCATGATTGTTCAAAAAGGATTTTTATATATATAAGTAATTTTTTCAATAAATTTATTATTATAATCATTTTTTTTTTTTATTTAAGTGGAGTACCAAAAAAACTACACATGTAATATTTCGAAGTGTTCAAAGATATTAATTTTTTTTAAAACACCCTTTTCAAATAAACTTTTTTTTTTTTATTATTTTAAAAATATCTTTTTTTTTTTTTTGCTCTCTGGTGATTAAATTATTTTTAATATTTTTTATTTAAATATTATCTTTTTTTAATATACATTTTTTTTATTTTTATTTTATTTTGGTTCATTTTCGAATGGTGTTCCCACATCAATAGATGAATTTTTATCTTTTATAAAAACATAACAAACACCTTCTTTACACACATTACTTGCGGCTAATTCTTTACAATCTATCCAATCACGTTTTCTTGGCAACTCGAACTCGCTTCTGTAGGAACCAAACTTTCTTTGATCCAAGCTTTCTTCAGGTTTTGAATAAGATGGGATTTTTCTATCGATAATTAGAAATATTTTGTCATAGGCGTCACGGTTACAAAACCAGAAAACTTTGGATAATGGTGCGTCGACAGCAATTGAAAATGAGTTATCAGTACTTATAATATCGACCTAATGAAAAAAAAAAAAGTTAATCGTTGGATAATAAAATTTTTATAATATTACAATAGTACTTACAGATGGAACAAAACCCATTTTGTCGAAACCACAACAATCACTATAGATGTATTCTAGATCAAATGTATTATTTTTTAATCTAATATAACCATCATGTTTAATAACTTCCCAGTTGTGAAATTCTACATTGTACTTTTCATTTTTTTTTTCTTTTGGCTGATCAGTTCCCATATAAGATTGATATATGTTCATAATTGTATCAAAAGTCATTTTCCATGTTTTTTGCTCACCAGCTAGTTTAGTATTATCATTAGTAACTGCAACGAATGTTTCATTATTGTGATTGGGATCTTTGAAATAGGTTGGAGCTTTTTTCTCAGTAAGATCCATAATCTCTCTGAGTAAGTTTCTTTTGTTGTTTATGATTACATCAACTATGAAGGCTTTATTTATTGAATTGATAGTGCATTCATTATAGATATCCCCAGCTTTGCTACCTTCCTCTGCCATTACATAATGATAAACCCCTTTGACATCCCAAAATCTGCAATTATTTGTTTTCTTTTTCTCTTCACCGCCAATTTCACCATTAACAATATCATCACGAATATGTTTTTCTACAGCTTCAGGGTCTTTGAAATTTGAAAGATTATGGACAACAATAACAGTCTTTGGATCTTTTAAACCTCTATACCTTGCATGACGATCTTTCATTGCACAGATATCTGTATTTTTTCCTGGACCTATAACTTCAATAATGATATCGGCTATATCGTAAACACCATACATAAAATTATCCATTGCTTTGATATCTCTAAGTTTATGAGAGTGACTATCAGGTTCCATTGAAGAGGATGCTAGTCTTTTTTGACCCATGGTATCAATAAAAACATACGATGGATCGATAGATGATTCAAAGAAAGCGAGAGCAGGTGTACTATTACTATATGAGGATGGAAAGTTACGTTTTTCAAGATTGTTTAATACATAGCTTTTCCCAGTGTTATAATCCCCGGCTAAGACAATTACTTTCTTTTTATAATATTCATTCAAGTTTGTAAATTCCTTTGAAAATTGACTATCATCTGTAATGATTTTCCAACCATTCCTTAAAGCCATCATTGATGGGGCATCAATAATAACATTATAGTTTGATTCGGGTTTATCTTGACTATCTAATATTGGATTAAAATAATTATAAATTATTGATGCCCCATCAATAATAACACTATGGATTGAATCCGGTTTATCTTTTGGATTAAAATATTTATTAAGTGGGCTATGTCCATTATCATAAAAATCCAAATAACTGAAACAAAATACTCCAAAAAAAAAAATAGTACCTACAATACAAAATAATTTAGATACCATTTTATACTATTTATTATTTATTTATTATGGTTATTAATTTTTTATAAATAAAAAAAAAAAAAAAAAATTTTTTGAAAAAATTAAGTTTTTCAAAAATATTTTAAGTTTTCAAAAAAAAATTTTTTATCATTTTTAATTAAGTTTTACTCATTTCCTAAGAAATACTTAACCCTTTAAAGTGAGACTCCCTGGGATAAAATTAAAAAAAGGTGAGTTTTTTTAAGTTTATTTTTTTTGAAATAATTACAATTTAAAAAATGTTTTTTTTTTTAAATCTTTGCACAACTACTTAGAAAATGGGGAATTTCATAATTTATACAATTAATTTTAATATGTCCATACTTTATGGGTTACTTAATATTCATAAATAGTAATAATAGAAAAAAAACCAAAAAATCAAAAGCATATCAGTAGCAGACACACAAAGTCTTTTATCGTCAAGTAAAACATAGGGCTAATATTAATCATACAGTTTACCGAATGGATAATTATTATTTTGAATTATTTTGAATTTTTTTGAATTTATTTTTAATAAAGCCAACCTATAAATTTGTTCAATTTTGCACTCTTTACATTGTTATACTATAGTGATGTTGTAGTTTGTTGTATTAATAACTAAACTATTTTTTGTTAGATTATCATTTTTATTAAAAAAAAAATTTTATTTATTTTATTTTATTTTTTTGAGATTATTAAATTATTAAGATCAAACAATTATTGTTAAAAATCTAAATAAAAATTTTATTTAAAAAAAAAAATGATCATTTTTTTTTTTTTTTGTTATTTTTTAACAACAACAACAACAACAATAACAACAACTATAATAATAATAATATTTTTAATAATAATAATAATATCAATAATAATAATAATAATATTATTATTAATGTTGATAATAATAATAATAATAATAATAATAATAATAATAGAAATTATAATAATAATAATAACAATAATAATAATAATAATAACAAGTGTAATAATAATTGCTTAATAAATCTAAATAAAAACTATTTTTATATAAATACAAAAAATAATAAAAGAAATAGACAATTATTTAGAGAAGATGAAATAGATGGTGGTAGAATAGACCCAAAACATATTAAAACATCACCACCAAAGCAACTTATTTTATCAATATCAGAAGTTTTTGAAAAAGGAGTCGAATTAACCTATGAACAACTTAGTGGATATCAAAAATCAATAGATCAACATATCAGAGCCACATCATTACCATTAGAAGTACAATTTAAATTACAACAGTATAAAAAAGACATTCAACTAATAATAGAAACAAAAAAATATAAAGAAAGTTTAGCTTTACTCAGTAAAAAAAAAATTGTATTAGATAACCACATAGATTATATTTATAATGATTTATTAGAAAAACAATACAAACTTTTAAATAAAAACAATAAAACCACATTATATAATAATAATAATAATAATAATAATAATAATAATAACAATAATAATTATTCCAATGTAAATAATATTGTACAATTACCATTATATATTCAAAAAAATATAATAAAAATGCTCTGTAATTATGTAAATAGAATATCTTATAATAAAAATATGATAAAGCATATAAAAAGACAAAACAAATGCTTTAATTTAGTGGGCTCATTAGCATTGGTATGCTGGAAGTGGTTCAACTGTGTTTCCGATAATATATATGTAATGATCGACCTAAACTGTACATTAAATCCTGAAAACTCTCTAACAAAAATCATCAATGGAACATTAAAACCATACAATAGACAAGTTAATAATCAGCCCTTTATAATTGAAACCATAGTTTCAAAAATAGGAATAGGGAAAACCTCATTTATAACCAATCAAATACAACCAAACAACAATCAAAACAACAATAATAACCCAAATAATCAGAATCAAAATCAAAACAATAATTTAATAATTAATAATTTAAATGAAACAATTACAAAATATAATATTATAAAATTCGAAAATGTAAATGTTTTAAAACTATACAAACTATATATAGATATTGATAAAAATATAGATTTAATAAATAAATTTTTAGTTCAACTTCCCAACCTTAAAGAAATAGCTATTTTAAATTCAGAAGAGAATTATCAAATAAACTCATTATCAAAATTAAATTTTCATGGAAAAATAGGAATTGGGCATTTTTATTTAAAAGAAACTTCTAGAATCCCATCAGTTATATCTAATATAGACAAAATATCAGTAGTACATACAGCAACAAGTCCAGACCTAATGTTTTATTTCCTACGTAGATTTAAACCATCAGAAATTAGAGTTTTCAATAATACCAAAATTCCTTTTCACAGATTAGCAGAAGATGACAAAAATGATTTATACGATTATGATTTTGAATCAAAGGTTTTAATAAATGTAGAAAATAATAGTTCCAACGGTTACAGCAACAACAATAATAAAAATAATAATGCCAATAAAACAATAGATAGAAATAGAATGTTTAACAAACAACTAATTGCAAGCAATTTATTAAATAATAAGAATCTAAATATTGGACAATGTTTTTCCGAACTCAAGTCATTAGAATGTCACCATACTGCAATTTCTCTAACCGATTTAAGTGCTGTTTTAAGCGCTTCTCCAAATTTAAGAAGTTTAAATATTTGCCTATGTATAGAATCCATTGCACATTATACAACTAACGGTAAACATCCAAAATGTACTTTTCACAACTGTAAAATGAACAACATTTATCAACGCGAAGATGTACTTTACTACTGGAAAGCCATTGGCAACACTTTATCAAAATTAAAATATTTAAATTCAATTTGCATTCAACATCGTTGTAATAGAATACACAAATTACATGTAGATTTTATAATTGACCTTGGTTCAATGTTACAAGATTGTATGCCTTTAAAAACTTTAAATATCAACGGTTTAACAAGCGATATACATATTGACTATTATAAATTTGATAATAGAAAATAAAGTAATAAATAATTTTTTTTTTCTTTTTTCTTTTTTTTTTGTAATAAATATTACAAATAAAAAAAAACTTTAAGTTTAATAAATAAATAAGATTTTTTTTATTTAATATACACATTATTATTTTATTATTATACATATATACTCGAAATCCAATAAGATTTTTTGGTTAAATTTATATTTTTAGTGATTATATATAGTGTGTTATTTTTAATTGTTTATAGTGTGTTATTTATCCCTTAAGGTTTTTAACTTGATTTGAATCACTGTACGATTCTTTTTATAATATACAATTCCTGCTACTACTAAAGCTGATACAACTACACATGGTATAACAATTGCTACAGGTAATACCCATGCTCTAGAGTTACATTTTTTATTAATATTTGGGTCAACTAAAACAGAAAAGTCTAAAAGAAATTAAAAAGATATTAGAATATATATAACTTGTTATAAATAAAACCAATATTATTATATAATTACCTGGATCGATAATACACTCTTCAGTGCAATGTGGTAAATTTAATCCAAAAAGGATTTCATTTTTATCGGTTGTATTTAACATTTTACTTGAGGAATAGGTAGATTGACCATCGCTAATAACTGTATTGATGAAACGTCCATATAATCTTTTATCATTTTTGGTGATTGTAAGATAATTTAAATCATTACCATCACTTTCTTTGACCTCTGGATCAAAATTACAATCGTCTTCAGAGGTTGCGACTGATTTAATTTGTAGTTGAATGGTACTAAGACTACTTTGATATTGATAGTTTTTAATACTAACTGAAAATTTAATTGAGCCTGGTTTAACTTCGAATACTACACCTCCAAACTCTCTCTTTTCTTGAACCTTGACCTCCTCGATTGTAGATTCGACTGTGGCACCAGTAGATCCAATGTATTGGGTGAATTTATGAATATTTTGATTTGTATTTTCTTTATCAATAACCCAAGAGTTTTGTAAAAAGTATTCAAAGAGCATTTCTCCGGTTATTGAATACTCAACAATTTTGTAAACAGAAATATCATAAGATACATCACCATTTGTAACACCGCCAGGTGATGTTTGACTGTTACCATTATCTTTTGAATTACAATCAAAACCAGACCAATCGTCAAAACATTGACAAATACCATTGGTAGAATCACAGACACCATGCGATAAATCTTCCATACAGTCATTTAAGCATCTGAATAGACCACTATAATAACGGAATAAATTCTGACCACTCCAACTAATACCATTTTGCGTGATTGAAACTACTTGCTCGCCTTTGCCTGGGCCAACAGTGCAATTAATTTCTTTTACAGTAACATTAATTAATGAACAAGCTTGGTTGCCAATTTGAATTTTTAATCCATCATGGACATCACCAAACCATCCTCTTAAAGTAGTTAAACCACCGAGTTCACCTGGAGATTGTACTGAGCTAATGAATTGATTTGGTAATGAGCATGTCTCACCAATGTAAAGTGATTCACAGAGGCAAATGCCGGTTGATGTAGAGCAAGTACCATGTCCTGAGCATGTTGGGTCTTTACATTGCACAACTGCCGATGAGCAATCATCCTTTGATGTCCATCCACTATCACATGTACATTTGGATGTATCTAAATTGCAGGAACCATGATTTGAGCAACTATTTGGACAATCTGTAATAATATTTTCTGTTCCTGGTAAGAGAGATTCCAATGTAAACTTACTTGTTTCTTGATCGATTGTAATAATGGCTGGTACTTTTGTTTTGGTGGAATTAAATGATGAAAGTTTACAAACAATTTCATTAAAAGTTGGTGCTTGAGAAAGAATACATGGAGAGCCATCGATTGTAACACTAACTAAACTTTCATTATAAGAGAAATAACTTCCTTTAATTGAAATAGCTCCATCAGATGAAGTTATAAAAATATTTGAAGGTATTGGATAAAGTGGGTCATTGCTAAGATAAAACACTTTATTGTTTGCACTTGAAAATGTTACTGTATATAAAGCTGAGGTTGTAGTGTTTGAATAAAAACTGAGATTTGGTACATCCAAGCTGAAAGAAATTGATGGGGATGTTTTAATTGAACTGCCTAAGAAACCAACATTTTGTCCAAAAATATAAGTTTTGCCATTAATTATTTTCATATTTGGTATAATCTCTAATGTATCCAATGGAACTATTGTTAAGCCAGTATTTGCAAACCAATTGGAAATGGTGGCATCATATAAATGACCTCTGTAACAGTCTGGTAATGAACCTGTAATTTTAGTGTTACCTGTAAGAATTAAAACTGTATTACAATAAGATTCATCAATGTTGGTACCTGTCATTTGAGTATTACTACTAAGATCCAAGTATTGAATTTTTGTTGATGAAAATATTGTTGGAAGTTGGCTTGTAATAGAATTATGATTTAAACTTAAACTTTTAATATTATTAAATGTTGAATAAGCTGGTAAAGTTTTTAAAACATTATTATTAAAGTTGCTGAAAAAATAAAAATATTAATATTTATAAAACCTAAAATAAAGACAATAGTAAAAATCTACTTACAGATTTATTAATGTTGATGGATAATTATTGCTTGAATCTGATAGTAAGAACATATTTGTTTTTTCAAATTTTAAAGTTTGTAATTTTGTAAAAACTGAATAATCTAAAAAAGCTGTAACTTCTGGTGAAAAGAAAAGAATAAAAGTAAGATCCTCTAAAACACTATTTGTCATTGAATGCAACTCGGTTGGATATTTAGTGTAAACCCCACTATTTAATGTTAATTTTTTAACACCTGAAAATGTTGTTAAACTGGAAAATGTTGAACTATCAAATGTTGAAGCGAGATTAATCGATCTATTTTTTAAAAAAAATTAGTATATATTGAAAAAATAAATTAAATTTTTATAAATATATTTACAAATCATTAATTAAGACATTGGATAAATTTGGGATTTTAGAAACTGAAAAAACCAAAGCTGGGGAAAATGCTGTTGCACTTGTTAGATCATTATTAAACTCTAAAGAATCGTCACCTTTTGAAATTGTACTATATAGTTGTAATAAAATAGTTAATATAAATTTATAAAGAAAATAAATATTTTAATATATTTACATTGTTTTGGCGCCTGCTTTTAAGTATGATAATTTTAATGGTGTAACTGTTGCAGTTTGTGAGAAAATGATAGTTAAAGATTCACAGTTAACATTGATTGTTTTTGTAAGTTCAAATGTTGAAACCTTTGTATTAAGTGTGAATGTATTTAAAGTTGGTGCAAGTGGTGAATAAAGTACATTTGAATTAATATTAACACTTGATAATATTATAGCTGAAACTTTTGCAAAACATGCTAAATCGCTGCTTTCAATTAAATTTGTGTTTGTTTGTGAAATGCTATAAAAAAAGAAAAAAATGAAAAATTTGAGAATATTAATGAAAAAAATAAAAAATAATTAATATTTAAATAATTTATAAAAAAATTAAATATTTAAATATACTTACGAAATTGAATTGACATATCCATTACTACAAGAAACAAATGTTTTTGCACAAAAATCATAGTCAGATGATGATGGTAATGTTGAAAATTGACCAAGTTGACCAATTTTTGTTATAAAATTATTTAAACAATTATATTCGGATGTTATCAAACTACCAATAGTAGTTTGAGATTTACATAAATATACAAAACAATTTAAAATTAAAAAAAATATTGAAATTCGATTCATTTTTTTATGAAACTATTATTTATTTACAAGTTGGTAAAAAAAAAAAAAAAAAAAAAAAAAAAAAAAGAAAAAAGGGTGAATTATTATTTTATATTTATAAATATTTTTGATGAGTTTTAAAATACATAATTATTTACAAATAAAAATAGTTGAGAGTGTAATTACAATAAACGAAATAAAAAAAAAAAAAGAAAAAAAGAAAAAAAAGTGAAAGTAAAAAAAATAAAATTTATTTTTTTGTGTTACTATTTGTGTGGGTGCTTTATTTTTATTTTTATTTTTGGTTTTGATTATAATAAAAAAAAATAATATAATAAATAAAAAAAAAAAGGTAATTTTTTCAAAATGAATTAAAAAAAAATCTTTTTTTTGTAGCGGCCATGTCGCCAATGATTCTTATAAAAAAAAAAAAAAAAAAAAAAAAAAAAAATAAAATCAAAAATATCTTATTTTTTTTTAGTTAAAAGAAATAAAGAAAAAATTAGAGAACATAATAAATACCTTTAGATAATTTTCTTTTTAGAATTAAATTTAATTTTTTAATTTATTTAATAATTTTTTTTTATTTTTTTTTTTTTAAAAATAAAAAAATTCTTTTTTTTTTTTTTTTTATTTAAATTTTTTTTTTTTTTGTTTTAAATTTTTTTTTTTTTTTGGTTTAATTTAAAAAATCTGTTATGTCATGAAAAAATATACCATAATATAATTTCTGGAATAATGTTTTTTTTGAATTTATTTTCAAGATCATTAATTTATTCCGGAAACTATTATTAATTTTTTTTTAAAATTTTTTTTTTTTAAATTTTTTTATTTTTATATTACCGGAATATATTTGTTCTTTTATTTAATTTTATTTTTTATATTTTTTTATTTATTTTTGTTTAGTATAAATAGAAAAAAAAAATCAAAAGTTATTCATTCATCAAATAAAAAATTTAATATAAACAAATAAATAAATAAATAAATAAAATAAATTTATTATAAATATCAAAAACTAAAATTTTAAATTAATAATATTATATAAAATAAATTAAAATAAAATAAAATAAAATGACTTCAAGAACTGTAAGATTTTTAACAGAAATAAATATTTATAATATTTTAATATAATTTACTAATGGTTTTTTAATTTTTTTATTAATAATAATATTTTAGGTTGTACAAATTGAAAGAGGTATGGATACTGAAGATGGTGCTGGTGTTGCCTTAAAAAGAGTTATTGGTCAACCAAAATTAAGACGTTTAGACCCATTCCTTATGTTGGATGAGTTCAAGAGTGATAAAGCTGACGATTATATTAATGGTTTTGATTGGCATCCACATCGTGGTTTCCAAACTATCACCTATATGATTGAGGGTTTAATGGAGCATAAAGATAATAAAGGTAATCAAGGTTTATTAACACCAGGTAGTGTACAGTGGATGACAGCAGGTTCAGGACTTATTCATAGTGAAATGCCAAAACAAGTTGAAGGTTTAATGCATGGTTACCAATTTTGGTTAAATTTACCAATTAAAGATAAAATGATTCCTCCATCCTATCAAGATATTGCACCAGAAAATATTCCAGAGGTTAAAAACGATGATTTAAAGGTTAGAGTTATTGCAGGAAAATATCAAGATGTAGAGGGTGTAATTAAAGGTGTTGTTACACGTCCATTGTTTTTAGATGTTCAATTAAAACCAAATGTTAAATTTTCAGAATTAATCCCAGCAGGTCACACAGCATTCGCCTTTGTATTTGAAGGTAGTACCAAATTTGGTCCCAGAAGACAATATGAAAGAAGTTAAAGAATCACATGTAGGTGTATTTGAAGTTGATTCAAGTAAAGATAGAATCGAAGCAGTTGCAACCGAAAAAGGTGCACGTTTCTTATTATTAGCAGCTCAACCATTAAACGAACCAGTCCACCAATATGGTCCAATGGTTTTAGGTTCAGAAAAAGATCTTCGTCAAGCATTCATTGATTATCAAATGGGTAGATTTTAAAACAATCAATCCTCTTTTTTTCATTTTAAACAAACAAATCAATATAAATAAAACTATTTTTGTAAACTACTAAACTTTTTAAATTTTAAATTCTTTTTATTTTATTTTATTTTATTTTACAATATTTTTTTATAAAATTATTACATCAATTAAACGAGTTTTACGTTTTAAACCATTAAAAAATAAAGCTATTGATAAATTTGATTTTGGTGGTGGAGGGAATTGGTCTAAAATTTCTAAACCATTCTCGTGGGAAGCTAAACTAACATACTCTACTTTTACATTTGGGTTTGATTCTAATAGTTTTGTAATTTCATCAATAAAGTGATTACGGTCATTAAATGATGAGATTCTATTTTTAAAATCTGTTAAAATTTGATATATTTTTGAAGCTTGTTGTTGTTCATCTTGAGATAAATAACTGTTTCTACTTGATTTTGCTAAACCAGTATTTTCACGAATAGTATCGCATATGTGAACATTGGTATCTATATTTAAATCTTGGACTAATCTTGATATGCAAATACATTGCATTGCATCTTTTTGGCCGATATATAGATTGGATGGGTTTACAATTAATAATAGTTTGGTCACAACTGTTGCTACACCACGGAAATGACCGGGTCTACTCTTGCTTTCTAATACATCTGACATTGATTCTACTTGAACATAGGTTGAGAATCCTTTTGGATATACTATATCTGGTGTTGGTAAAAACAATAGATCTGTTTCAGCTTGATTCAAAAGCTTACTATCACTTTCTAAATCTACTGGATAAGTTGATAGATCTTCATTTGCATTAAATTGTGTTGGGTTTATAAAAATTGATGCCACGACTATATCGTTCATTGATTTAGCTTTCTCTACCAATGATATATGACCTTGATGTAAATATCCCATTGTTGGAACAAATCCAACAGTTACTTCAAAATATTGTTTATTTTTTAATTTCATGATTTCTAATTTTTTCAAATGAATTTCTTCTTTAATTGATTTAATATCTTTGCAAGTTTTTAATGCCATTTTTTGATTGTTTATCTATTATATATAATAAAAATATAAATTTATAATTTGTTTATTTAAACCAAACAATATTTAAATAAATGTTTGTGTGATGATAAAAATACAAAAAAATAAAAAATAAAAAATAAAAAATAAAAAAATAAAAATTAAAAAAAAATAATTTATAAAATTAAAAATAAAATAGATTAAATAAAGTTCCCAAATCTTTGCACCATTATCTTAAAAAATTTCGATTTTTCTTTCTTTTTATGGATGATAATGGTTTTTTTTTTTTTATATTTACAATATAAAGCTTTTTATTTAATTAAAAAAAAAAAGAAAATTCGAACTAATACTTTTTTTTTTTTTTTAGTTTTTGATGTTCACAAATTATGTGTTTTTTTTTTTATATTTTTTTTTTTTGCATATATGATTTTTTAATAATAAAGTTTGATTAATTCATCAGATACGGCTGATGGAGTTAAAACACCAAGTTCTGTGAAAAGTAAAGTAATATATGATGGTGGTGTATAATCTAAGGTTGGTGAATCAATCTGAATAATTTTAAACAAACAAATTAAAAATTAGTATATATTTTAAATAAATAAATATTATATTATATTACGTACAGTTAATTGTTCAGGGTTTTCGCAATTTGAACAAGAATTACAAACTTTAAATGGTTCAGAAATATGTTCATTCTTTAAACTTTCGATATCAGACTGGTTAAGTGGGTATGAACGTGTAAATTTAAATGATTCTGCAGCAACATAGAATGGTTTTTTGAAAGCTTTTGCAACAATACTAATTTGATATGTACCAATTTTATTAACAATACCACCATTTTCGACAATAGCTTCAGCACCACATAAAACATAATCAACTTTATCAATAATTCTTGAAACTCCACCATCCATAATTAATTTAACTGGTATATTTGCTGCTTGTAATCTTGCTGCTGTTTTATAACTAATTATAAATGATTAAATAAAGTTAGGTTTTTTATTATTAATTGGTTAAAAAGTTATAATAACATACCCTGATGAATCTGGTCTTGATTCAGTAACAATAACTGAAAATCTTTTACCTTGAAAGGCTGCATTTAATAAAAGTGCTAAAACTACTCTTGAAAAACCATGTACTAAAATAGTGACGCCATCTCTAATGAATTTATCTGCTAATTGTGAAATTTTAATTCTGCTCAGCGATGATTGTTGGAAAGTAGTTCACCTCTTTCAATTAAATTAACTTTACATGATCAAAATTCTAATCGATTATCATTTAATTAATATGTTTATATTGGATTTGATTTATATTCTATATTACTTACTGGGAAATCTAATGAGGTTCTTGTAACAAAACGAATAAAAAGATCGCATACTGATGATAATGAAATTGATTGATTGAATGGACATGTTTTTAATTGTTTAGCTGCATCTTCTAAATCTTTTTGTAAACCCATAATTGTAGTTGCATGACTATTTCTAATTACCTCTGTTAAAATTCCAATAGTTGGGATTGCAACCGAAATTTCAGTTTCTCTTTTAATCATTGTTTCAAATTTTGTAACAACTAAATTTTCATTGAAAAAAATGATTAATATTAGTAAAAGAAACAGAAATACATAATTATTTCTAAAATGAAAATTAAATACCCCATTCAAAATCTTTATTTAATGTTGTGGTGGAAGTGGCCATTTTATTGGGTATATATGTTGGTGGATTTATGTTGGTGGATTTATATTTATAAAATTGATTATTTTTATTTTTTTATTTATAAATTTATATGTTATTATTAAATTCTTTATTTATTCGTTTTTTTTTCTCTGTTTTGAATTTAAGTAATCTTTAATCAATTTGGTTTTTTTTTTATACTTTTTTTTTCCACTCAAAAAAATTTTAAAAATTTAAAAAAAAAAAAATTAAAAAAAATAAAAAAAAAAAAAAAAATAAAAATAATTACATTTTTTTTATTTTTTTTATTTTGGTAGCTGTTTTAACCTTAATTGTATAATTTTTAATTTTCAGACTGCGATACAAGTATTCAAATTATTTTATCTTGAAATATTCCCATATATTGGTGGCATTTGTTTTTAAATAGTTACAAAAAAGTTTTTGGCAACCCACCCAAATGTGAGTGTGTATTCTTTCAAAAATTTAAAATAATAGATTATTGAGATCAAATGCTCGTTAAAATTCTATCATAACTTTTTTACTTCTATTGGTAAATTACGGTAAAAGGCTTCTTAAATTTTAATATTAATTTTATTTTTAAAAATATTTAAATTTAAATATTTTAAATAAAATTTTTATTTTTTTTTTATTTTTATAATTCCAAAATAACCAATCAAATTAAGTTCAAGTTAACAAAAAAGGCATTTTTCTCTTTTACTAAAAAAAAAGAGGTTGAATATTTTAAAAGAATTTATAATTGGCTAAAAAACATTACAATTTGGAAATAATATTATTTTTTAAAAAACAAAAAAATTAAATTCAAGATTTTTTTTTTTTTAATGATATTGACTTTTCAAAAAGATATCTGTATATACACTTGTGTTTGGATGATATATATCTTTATTAAAGTTTTTTTTTAACATAATGTTATAAATTTACTTTTTTATCATATATTATATTTATTATTATAATTATTATAATTATTATTATTATTATTATTATTATTATTATTATTATTATTATTATTATTATTATTATTATTTTGTCTGTATTAATTATTTCTTATTTTATATTTTTAAACCACACACCTCACCAAACCACAAGAAAAAAAAAATTTTCTTTTTTTTCTTTTTTTTTTTTTTTTTAAAAATTTCAAAATTTAATTTTTTTTTTTTTTTTTGTTTTTTTTTTAATATTTAAATATCATATCCTATCTTTTTTTTTTTCTCAAATTTTTAATAATACACTTCAATAATTTATAAATATATATATTAACAAAACTATCTTTTTAAAAATGGAACAACCACAATACAAATTAACTGATGAAGAATTAAGCAAATGTATGGATGCCGCCTACGATTCATTACAGTACTCCTATTCCCCATATTCCAAATTTAGAGTTGGTGCTGCTCTTTTAGGTACAAATGATAAAATTTATACTGGTGTCAATGTTGAAAACTCATCATATGGTTTAACTATCTGTGCTGAAAGAACCGCTTACACTAAGGCTGTCTCCGAAGGTTGCACTACCTTTAAAGGTATTATTGTTGTCAGGTAAGTAGTTAATCATATAAAACATATACATGCAAATATTTATATATGTGTATATACATGTATACATATTAAAAGGGGGGGGGGGTGTTGATCAAAAGGGTATTAAGTAAAGTTTTCTTGAATAAACTTCAGAAACAAACAAAAATAAATAAATAAATAAAAGTTTATATAAAATCTTTTAAAAACAGACAGTATTCAATTGAAATGACTTTAAATCATTAAGTTTAGACGATATAAAAGTTTTTTTTTTTTAAACCCTTTACCCCCCTAGCAACCACTCTCTCAAATTTTTCTAACTCGATTTTTTTTAAAAATACATATAAAATTAATTTATTATAGTGATGCCACTGAAAGATTTACAACTCCATGCGGGGCTTGCAGACAATTTGGTGTTGAAGTAAGTTCAGAAGCTTTATTTAATTTATTATTTAAAAAGGAAGATGGTTTATTAATTTTTTTTTTTTCATTACTTTTCTAGTTTGGTAACTTTGAAGTTGTTTGTTGTAAACCAGATAGAACTAGTTTCAGATCAAGTACTTTTGGTTTCCTTCCAGGTTGTTTCACTCAAGTTGATTTAGATCTCCATGCCAACCAAAACAAAAAATAAAATAATAAAAATTAATTGTAGTATTTTAAAATTGAAAAAAAAAAAAAAAAAAAGAAGTTTTCAACTTCACTGTTCAAAGTTGATCAAAAATTCCTTAACATTTATTTATGTTTGTGTTTATTTTCTTTTAATTATTTAATATACTTATATGTAAATTCTAATAAAAAAAATAATAATATTTTTTATATTTTTTTTTTATAAATTTTTTATTTTTTTTTAATTTTTTTTTTTTTGGGAAACCAACACAGAATGAAAAATCAATTTAAAGAAAGAAATCATTTTTATATTAGAGTTGGCAAAGAATATGTAATACCGTTATTGTTAATATTACATGATCACGAAAATTTTACAGAGCTTCAATTCCATGAGCTAATTACAGTCACCCAGGGTATTTTAAAGAATCATTTTTCAAAGATACGATACAGTTTTTATTCAACCTATTTAACCACTGAACAATCATCCACTTCAAAGCCACTATACTTAAAAGATATAGGCTTTACTTTTCGGTTTGCCACAACATATCCCAAATATGCAATTGTAGTAAAAAATAATTTAGATACAATACACCAAAACGATTTAAAGAGAAGAGAGGAAGAAAAGAAAAGACAATTAAAAGAATTAAAAAATGATGAAAATGAACATGCAGAAGAAAATGAAAATGAAGAAAAAGGAAATATAGATATTGTAGAAATTATAGATACAGATAAAACTGATCAATGTACAATCGTCATAGATGAAGAAAATAGTAACAGCTTAACCGATGAAAAAGAAAAAGAAAAAGATATAGAAAATGAAAATGAAAAAGATATAGAAAACGAAAACGAAAATGAAAATGAAAATGAAAAAGAAAGTGAAAAAGAAAAGATAGATGACAGTGACTATGAAGCGGATGAAGAGGATGATATAGAAAAAGAATTTACATTACCAAGTAAGAAGAAAACACCAACTAAAAAAAATACAAAAAAAAAGAATACAAAAAAGAAAGAAACCATTGACTATAGTAAACAATCAGTTTTATCAAATCCTATAGAAATTATTGAAACCAAGTTTGATAGAGAAGAAGATGAGGAGAATAATAAAACAACTACTACAACCACTACAACTACAACAACCACTACAACAATTGACTTGGATAATGAAGATGAGAAAAATGAAGATGAGGAAGAGCCGTCATCACAGGACGTTTATCTAGGTGGTATTTATCATGGGTTAACAGTTACAGGTCACACTTTAGTTATTGAAACACAAAATAAAATTGCAGGTACATCAAAACCAATTGATTTGTTTTATTATAGTGATGAAGAGGATGATGGATTCAATTTACCAGATTCAGAGTCACAGCTTTCGACCTCAAGCTCTAGCTCTAAAAAGGTTAAGAAAACAACCACAACCACCACCACCAAAACAAGCACATCACCAAATAACTCGACAAGAAGAAAAACCAAATCAACTATTGCAACTGGAAATAACAGTATTAGCACCTATTTTTGTAAGTGATACCATAAATAAAATAAGAAATAATTTTTAAAATTATTCCAAATATTAACATTCTCTTTTTTTTATTTATAGCAAACACTGGAGCTAAAAAAAAATAAACACTCTCTGTAAATATATTTAAAATAAATAAATAAATTAAAAAAAACAAAATTATATACAACACAACAAGCTTTATTTATTCATTGAATATTCAGTCAACTATTTCCAACGATTAAACCATGGCCCATCAATAGAATAGTCACTTAAATTCTTTTCGCCATCCGTTGTTTGATTGCTATTATTTAGTGACATTAATATTTCTTGATTGTTAGTTGGTGACCATATATTATAGTTAATTGGTATTATTTCTTTGGAAGATGATCTTAGATTCATTTTTTCTTCATTTGATTTTTCGGGTGATTCTAAATCTATGGGTGAGAAACCAGAGGGATCGCTTGATTTTTGAAATCTAATATCCATAGTCCAACGGATTTCGTTTGATTTTGATAAATTTGGTAAACTTCTATGAATTGTTTTATTTGTAAATATTACGATTGAGCCTTTGGGTAGTGGCGAGCATGTTACTATTTGATCATTTAGTTCTTTTTCACTGTTAAAACCTAGCTTATCCATGATTTCATCTTGTTCAATTTGCAAATACCATGAATCTTTGTACTCTTTATTTACAATTCTTTCCAATTTATGTGTTAGTAGTTCTCTGGTGGTGCTATTATTATTATTGCTGTTTTTAATTATTTGTAATGGACCAATGTTATCGGTTATATCGACCAATGCTATCCAGACAGTTACTTGATCAAAAAACTCTGCTCCTTTTTCGAGGTATGCAGAATCTTGGTGCCATGGAACATTGAAATATCTATTGTTGGGTGTTTTTGATCTTAAATTCCATTCTGGATGCCCAGATATGTTTTTAGTTCCCAATAACTGTTCTATTATATCTAAAAGTTTTGAATTTTGAAATAAATTTTCACCAAATGATTTCTTTAATCTACTGGCAAATTCGGTGTGTAGTAAAATCGAAGACCCTATAAATTCACTTTCTGCACCAACCAGCTTTTCATTTAAACTTAATGATTCGTCCTTACTGTAGTCTTTCTTTATTAATCCCTGTGTGTATAATTTTGATATTAAAATATTAACTTGCTCTTCTATTTCTTTGAATAAATTGTCTATTTGATTTCCATTTAAAAAATTTTTGATAATAATATAGTTGTTATTTAAAAATTCATTTTTTAAATTCATTTTAATATAAAAAATAAAAAAGAGGGAAAATAAAAATGTGTATATATAATTAAATGGGGTTAAATTGAATTAATATATTATTAACAATGAATTTTGAAAAAATTAATTAATTTTAAAAAATAAATATATTTAATTATTTTTTTATTTTTTTTATTTTTTTTTAATTTTTTAAAAAATTTTTTTTAATTTTTTTTTTTTTTTTAAATTTTTTTTGATCATCAGTATTATTATTTTTATGTGTATAGTTTAATAATAAAAATATTAAAATCAACCTTTTTCCCATAAAATTATTATACATACAAACTAATCAATAATAGCGATATATTTATTTTAAAAAAAAAGAACAAAAAAAAAGACTGTATTAGTATATAATTTTAGAGATGAGTTCAGTAGAATTTTCAAATCAACCAGTTGTCATAGATAATGTAAATAATCAATTAGATTTACAAAAATAAATTTCAAAATTTATCAATAAAGCAGTTAATGTATTAATAAATGTTTTTTTAACAAAATTTTAGGGTTCAGGTGTTATTAAAGCAGGTTTTGCAGGTCAAGACCCACCATCACATATTTTTCAATCATTGGTTGGTAATCCAAAATATAAAAAGGTTATGGGTTTAAATATTGAAAACGAATCAACTTATTTTGTTGGTGATAGAATTAATGACTTTAGAGGTATTTTGAAATTAAAACATCCAATGGATCATGGTATTGTTTCAGATTGGGGTGATATGGAAAGAGTTTGGAGCTATACTTATGATTTATTAAAAATTCAATCATCTGAAGTAAGTATAGAGATATAGGTTAAAATAATTTTAAAAAACTATTAGAATTTTCAAATTAACACATTTATTTTATTTTATGTAATAATTATCAAATATTATTAGCATCCAGTTTTATTAACTGATGTACCACACAATCCAAAATTACATAGAGAAAGAGCAGCACAATCATTTTTTGAAACTTATAATGCACCAGCAATTTATTTTTCAATTCCAGCAGTTTTAAGTTTATATGCAAGTGGTAGAACTACAGGTATTGTTTTAGATTCTGGTGATGGTGTCACCCATACAGTACCAGTTTTCGAAGGTTTTGCTTTACCACATGCTATCACTCGTATTGATATTGCTGGTAGAGATATTACAGAGTATTTACAATTCTTATTAAGAAGATCAGGATATAATTTCAAAACTTCAGCTGAAAAAGAATTAGTTAGATCAATTAAAGAAAAAACATGTTATGTTGCACATGATCCACAAAAAGAAGAGGAATTATTAGAACCAGATTCATCATCATCTAAACCAGTTCAACCACAATACACCCTCCCAGATGGAAATGTAATCGAATTAGGCGCTGAACGTTTCCGTGCTCCAGAAATTTTATTCCATCCAGATATCATTGGTGATGAATCATTGGGTATTCATCAATGTTTAGATATGTCAATTAGAAAAAGTGATATCGATCTTAGAAAAACTTTTTATTCAAATATTATTTTAGGTGGTGGTTCAACTTTATTCCAAGGTTTTGGTGATCGTTTATTAAACGAAGTTAAAAGATTAGCTCCAAAAGATATTAAAATTAAAATTACTGCCCCACCAGAACGTAAATATTCTGCATGGATGGGTGGTTCCATTTTAGCTTCATTATCCACATTCAAAGACTTGTATGTCACTGCTCAAGAATATGACGAAGAAGGTAATGTTTTTATTTTTTTAATTAATATAATTTTTTTTAACATTAATATTAACATTTTTATTTTATTTTTACATTCCATTTATAGGTGCCAATGTCTTACACAGAAAGATTTTATAAACTAAAAATAAAAATAAAAATAAAAATAAAAATAAAAATAAAAATAAAAAATTGGTATATTTAAAAACTATTTATTATCGAAATTTTCCGCACTCTTTAGAAAATAAATTGACTTTTAATTTTAATAAAAACAAAACTGAAATTCATTTGGTTTCATATTAATTAAAATTAAAACCCAATTTAATTTTTTTTTTTTTTTTTTATTTGTTTCCAATTTTATTTGCAAAAAAAAAAAAAAAAAAAAAAAAAAAAAAAAGGTTTTCGAATAATTTTTTTTTTTGATTTGTTCTATTATGTAAAATAAAACAAGTCTCTCTTTTTAAAAAACTTATATTTAACCATTAAAAAAATAAATAAAAAAAATTAATTTTAAAATTTTTTTTTTTTTGAATATATTTTAATTTTTTTATAATTTTTTTATTTTTTATTTTTTATTTTTTTTTCATTTATAAATACTTTCTTTAATAATTTTTTTTACAGATTGTTACAGTTTAGTATTATTATAACTTTTTTTTTTATATAATTTATAAAATATAAAAAAAAAATAAAATTTAGTTTATATCCATTTAATTGGTAGAATTTTGTAATCTTGCAAAAAAAAAAAAAAAAAAAAAACAAAAAAATTCTATCTAACCACTTTAAAATTAGAAATGGATAGTTTATTTTATAATAATAATACAATTAACCACCAGAGTGATCCGGAAAAGCTTGCCAATCAAGAAAGAGAACAACAAGCACTTGGGCAACTAAAAACACAAGAACAAGAGCAACAGGGGTTACAAATACAAATACAAGAACAAGAACAAGAACAAGAACAAGAACAAGAACAGGAGCAGGAGCAGGAGCAAGAACAAGAACAAAAACCAGAGCCAGAACCAGAACAAGAAAAACAACAACAACAACAACAAGAACAGGAGCAAGAGCAAGAACAACAACAACAAGAACAAGAAAAGGAGCATGAGCGGGAACAAGAACAGGAACAGGAGCGGGAACAAGAGGAAGAAGTAATATTTTATGAACCAATACAAAACCAAAGGCCACAAATAACATCACCACAAGCTCTACCATCCCCACAACAAAATAATAATAATTTAAATCGTAATAAAAATAACAATCAACAAAATGTTATCCTTATCGATGATGACGATGAAGATGATGAAATAATAACATTACCAACAAATACAAATAATCTGGTAGATTTAACAGACTCGCCACCTCCATCACCGAGAGCAAATCAATCCCTTTTTAATAATTCAAGAAATGTTTTTCAACCAAATAATTATTTTAATAATATGAATAATGGTATCAATGGTAATTTTAATAATCGTCAAAATCATAACAACAATATGAATAATTATAATTATAATTATAATATGAATAATCATTATAACCATTTTACAAATAATAATAACAATAATAATATGAATAATATGAATAATATGAATAATATGAATAATGGTATGAATAATCATTATAATAACTTTAATACAAATTATTATAATAGCAATAGTAATGGCAACAATAATAATAATAATAACAATGGCTATATAAATAATCATAAAAGAAAACAAATTGACGATGATGTTTTCATAATAGACCCACCAAACCAAAATAGTAAACCTGACGTTATTCATATCGTAGAACCAAAGGGGAATTTATCAATTTCATCTATATCAGAAAATTCGGAGGTTTTTAGAGCCCAAGCACAACTTGAAAATGAAGATAGCAACAGAAAACCAACTATTAATTTAGAATGTCCAATTTGTTTCGAAGAGATGGGGGCCAATGGAATGACATCTACCATATGTGGCCATGCTTTTTGTACAAAATGTATCATAAAATCTTTTGAAAGGAAAAAATCCTGCCCAATGTGTAATAAAAAACTTAGAAAAAACTCACTCCACCCATTATTCTTATCTTTTACAATTGTTCCACCACCAAATACTACTACAACTACAACAACTACAACAACCACAACAAATACAACAAATACAACAAATACAACAAATACAACAAATATAACAAATACAAATCCTATTAATAGAGGCAACAGTGGTTTCAATAGGTCCAATAACAATGTATTGCATAATATGAATAATCACATTAATGGTTTCAATCAAAATCAAATTCAAAGTCAAATTGAAATTCAAAACCAAAATCAAATTGAAATTCAAAACCAAAATCAAATTCAAAATATAAATCAAAATCAAAATCAAAATCAAAATCAAAATCAAAATCAAAATCAAAATCAAAATCAAAATCAAAATCAAAATCAAAATCAAAATCAAAATCAAAATCAAAATCAAAATCAAAATCAAAATCAAAATCAAAATCAAAATCAAAACATAAATCAAAGTCAAAATCAAATTCAAAATATAAATCAAATTCAAAATCAAATTCAAAATCAAAATCAAAATATAAATCAAATTCAAAATCATTTAAATCTTTTGGGTAATTTTTACGAGACGAATAATAGAAATGGAATATATGGGTCTTTTGCTCAAGATGATAATGAAGAAGATGAAGAAGATGAAGAAGATGAAGAAGATGAAGAAGATGAAGATGAAGATGAAGATGAAGATGAAGAAGATGAAGATGAAGAAGATAGCGATAGTGAAAGTGATAGCGATAGTGAAAGTGAAAGCGAGAGTGATAGTGAAGATTGTTGGTAAAAATCAAATCAAATTATAATAGAATAGTTGTAAAATTAAACCCATTTTATTTTGCTCAAAATAGAACTTTAATAATAAAAAAGTCTTTGTTGATTATTTTTTATTTATTGTATTTAAAGTTAATAATAAAAAAGAAAAAATAAAATTATTTTTTAGTTAAAAAAAGTTTATTTAATATTTATTGCAAATTTTTTATTTTTTTATTTTTTGTATATTTGAAGCAATTTCTATATTTTTCTTTACAATATTACTGACCAAATCATCGCAAATATATTGAACATTTTCTAAGTGACTTAAATTGATTGAGGTCATTAGATCAGTTAATGAGGATGTTGATGAAGCTAATTGGTGAGAGTTGATAAATTTGAGTGTGAAAATCTTTGAAAGATCCAAAAGTATATTTTCTGATGGGTTGTAATCTGGGCAATCCATAAGGGTGGTCAAGATTTCTAAAGGAATTGGATCCTCAAAACTATCGACATCTGGTGAATACATTGTAAGTAATTGTTTTAATTGGGCAATGGAAAGGGTTGGGCAAATTTCTTTTCTTAACTCTTCATTTTGAAGTTGAGTTTTATCGATCATTAAAATGTAAACGACTTCTTTTAATAACTTCAATTTATCACATACACTAACTGACCATTCTTTTCCTTGATGTGTTTTAACCCAATGTTCTAATTCTGATATGTTCATCTTTATTGGAATACTACTTCTTAGGCAACATAAATCTTTTCTTAATAAAATTTCATTAAAAATCATAGCATTGATATATACAAATAATTGTTCAAATAATAACTTGCATATATTGTTGTTTAATTCACATGTTTCTAAAGATAATGAAATTTGAATTTGGTTTCTGGTATAAATAAAAGGATTAAAAAGTTAGTATTTATAAATGTTGATATTAATTTGAACATATATATTTAAAATACATACAAATAATTTGTAATTGGGTCCATAAAATCAATTTCTGATGATGTATCATTTAATGATTTATGTAAAATTGGTTGGATATAATCTGTGATGTTTTTGACAACATTTTTATGGGCTTTAACAATCATTGTTTGAAGAGTTGTCTTTAATTTGTCTATGTAAACTTTTTCTTGATCAGATAATACAATTTTATCCATTGATTCATCACTATAAGCCTCCATTATATTAAAGAGGACATAAAAGTTTGAAAACCAATAACAAAGAGAGCTACAGTTTGATTTTGGGTCACGGTATATGATTTCCTCTACTTTATCACAAAAATATATTATAATATTTACATTCATTTCTATTAATTCTTGACTTCTATTTTCTAAATCGGGATTATAAATATTCTTTAAGAAACAACGAGATACTATAAATGCAGGTTCTGGAATACCACCCATTTCTGAAGGAACGTATGTTGGAACTTGATGATCTGCTTTCATCATCAAATCTATTAAAAACTTTCCTGATTCCAATTGGCAATTATTGAAGTTTAGAGCTGAAACCAAGTCCGATATGGTACTTGCTACCTTTGATTTATTAGATTCACTTGCATCACTATTAGTTGGGGATATTTGAAGATTATTATTTTGGCTATTAAGAGCAGCGGCGGCTGCTGCTGCTGCGATTTCTTGACTATTGGTAAAATCTTTATAAGATAAGGACTTAACATTATCTTTACTGAGTGGGGAAATAGTTGTAGTAGCAACATTAGTGGCAACTGGTGAAACTTGAATTGGAGAAGTCACATTCATTACAGCAGTATTATAATTATTTAAATCTTGTTGTTGCTTCAAAGACAATTTTGTTGGTTTTGGACTTTCGTTTATATTTGATGGAATACCTGGAAGCAATGAACGTGGGTGTGTTGTTTGTTTTTTTAATTTATCTTCTAGTTGGGTAATTTGATTTTTTAATGAATCAATGTATTTTTGATGGGTTTCATCTTTTTCTTTTAATATAGAATATTCTTTTTCTAAATTAATAAAATCTTTCTTTGGTACCATATCTTCTTTTCTTTGAGATGATGGGATTTCTTGTGATGATATTAATGGTGGCGATTTATCCCCAAAATCTCTACGACGTTCACCTTTATGTTGCTTAGGTGATAAAATTATGCTACTGTTCATACTATTCTCTTCTTCAATTGAACTGTCTACTGCGGATGAAACTTGACTTATACCAGATTCATTTAGACTAATAGGTGGGCTAGTAAATGAACTATTTTCACCAAAGCTATGAGTTGTTGCAGAACCACTATTTTCGGCCATTTGTTCAAGGGATATGACCTGGTTTTTGAGCTGTTCAATAAGAATTTCGGTCTTCTTCTTATATTCTTGATACTCTTTTTCTAGATTTTTTAATTTTAATAGAAGCTCTTCTTTTTCCATTTGAATGTTACCATAGTCAGATACAAGTTTTTCCTTTTCTATTTGAATGGATCCCATTTCATTTTCTAGTTTTTCTTTTTCCTCTTTGATTTGCTTAGCCATATTAGATTCTGAGTTTAGTTTACTTTGAATATCATCCAGACGTGAAACCAATTTCTCTTTTTCAGCAACAACATTATTTAATGATTTAGCATCTATCTTCATTTGACGGAAAAGCTTTCTGGCTACCCTACCTCTCCAACGAGATTGAATCTTAATAACATTGTTCATTCTTGTACAGAGCTCTACAAATTCCTTTGCATCTTGTAAACGACGAAGTAAAGATTGGATATGAACAGTTGAGTTGATAACTTCGCTGAACTCCTTTTCATAAATAGAAGCACGGAGTAAAGATTGTAAATGAATTGCTGCATCTTCCTCCAAAAGAGATTCGTATTCTTGCTTGGCATAAAACATACGTATAATTGATTGGAAAAATATAGTAGACTGTAAAACACTTTGGTATAAACTTCTTTGAACAAAACCTCTCCAAATCTTTTGAATTAATATAGCACTATTTATCATGGTTTGGGATCTTAATAACTCGAGATTTGCAATAACCCCTGAACGGAAAAATAACTTTGTAACACCAAATTGAACATTATTTTTATCTATTTTTAATTTTTCCATTAAAAGTTCAGAACCTTTCTTTTCATCGGTCAGTACTGTTTTCCAATCATTTGAATCCTTGAAATCTTTAGCACAACACAATCGGTATCTCTTTAATGATCATATAACAAACGACTTGGGTACCCAGATCTACTAATACGGAGTTGTTCAATGACACCACTACAACGAAGTTGATGGAGAACCATTAAATTATCAAAAAGCTGTGGACTCTTTTCAGTATTGGGTTTAATACATCTTATATAATGCGGATTTGTACTATTAATTGTGGTCATTAAGGAGTTTAATGACTCTTTAAATTGTGAAGAAACTGATGTAAATTTAAATGTTGATGAGGATTTTACACCAGTTGAAGTTTTTGATTTTGAATCCCCATCCATTTTATTGGCTAAAATTTGTAATAAATTGGTTAAAAATTCCCACTTACTTGATTGCAAAGCTGAAACTTGCTCGCTGATAATAAAATCTTTATTCTTTTCTAAAAACAAATTTGTATCATAACTGACCTATAAAAATAAAAGTTAAAATTAAATTAATATTAATATAAAAAAACAATAAAAAATAAAAAAATAAAAAAAGCTAATATTTACTGAGATAAACAATTATTAAACAATATATAAAAATAACAATAAATTAAAATAACAATAAAATAAAATAACAATAAGAGTAAAATGAAAACTGCAACAAATAAAAAAATAAAACCCCCTATAAAAGGCGCTAACAATAAAATTTAAATTTTTTAATTGTAAAAAGTGGGGGGTAAATGTAAAAATATAATTTATAATGTGTGGGATATTATTTTAAAAAAATAAAAATAAATAAAAACAAATTAAAAATATAAAAAAACCGGTACTTACTTTTCCTGCATAATGATCTATAATAAAATGAGTATTCGAAAATCTTGGTTTTTCAAAATTTTTAGTCTTTCCATGATTTTGATATAACTTTGTGCATAATGTATCCGGTGTTGATTTAGGGAACTGACTTTCTTCGTCTAAAATACTTAAAATACCCAATGGCTTTTTCTCTATTAAATCTATACATTCTTGATTATCTTGAAACTCTATATATGACCAATCTATTTTTTCTTTTTCATATTCCTTTTGCTCTAATTTAAATATTTGATGATTGAATTGATTTTGTAGTTTTTCATTTGCATAATTAATGGTAAATTGTTCGAATGAATTATTTTCGAAAGATTCAAATCTAGAATAATGTAATTTAAAATGTCAATATAAAATATTTATAAATAATATTTAAAAATAAACTATGCTTACCCATAAATATCTAATATACCAATAAATAAATAATCTTTTTTAGTAGTTTTATCAATAGATTGATTTATTCTATAAACAATCCAATCAAATAAACGAGAGTATAAGAACATTGCAAGAGAATCTCTTGCTTGGCAAGCTTGGTCAACTGTTAAATTTAAAATGCATGATTCATTACCGGCCTTCATTGTTCTTTTGGTAAATGTTGGTTTTAAAGCATCAGGTGAACAACCTAATAATTCACATGCTACATCCAATGGTTTGTAATTATCTCCGAATTGATTCTTATTTGAGGGTGACTCTATTAATTCTGAACTATCCTCTTCTTTACCTGGGTTAAACTCGATATTTGAAATGTGAAGTATTGCTGATAAAACCTTCCATACACCCATTAACTCTTCATCGTTGAAACCAACTACTTTTAATGCCTTTTCTGTTTTTATAAATACATCTCCATCATCTACACTTTCAATTGAATGACAACCACTTTCTTTTAAATAATAAAAATCCTCTGGATTTGATGTAATCTTTAACATCTCTTTTTGCTCATCGGATAAACCTGCCAACATTTGATAAAAAATATGATATGAACGTTCATTCTCTTGGGGTTTTACAATTCTTGATTTTTCTAATAAATAAGTTTCTAATTTTGCACCAACAATAGTACCTTTTAATTTATCAAAATGGATTTCTATAAATTTACCAAAACGACTACTATTGTCATTTCTTAAAGTTTTGGCATTACCGAATGCCTCAAGAATTGGAGTTGATTTAATAACCTGAGTCTCTATGGAGTTTCCCTCCTCTATATCCTCTTCTGATACCATTGAAGTATTGACTCCGTTTCCTTTTTCACCCATAGCAGCAAAATATTGTAATAAAAATTTAGTTGTTTCGGTTTTACCTGCACCTGACTCCCCAGATACTAAAATTGATTGATTCTTTTGAAAATTTAACATTTCTCTATATGCACCCTCGGCAATTGAATAAACATGGGGTTGCAATTTAGCCACAGGTTGATCACAGAAACTTTCAATCATTTCTTTAGTATATATTGGTAATTTAGTATATGGGTTAATTGCAATTAAGATAGATCCAGTATATGTATAAATTGAATTAATTTCATATCTTTTTATTAAATTATGTATAACTGCTGCTTCCTATAGAAAACCATTAGTATATATAAAACACAATGTTAATTTAATATCTAAAAACCTACATGTAAATGTGATAATCCTGTCATATCGTCGATACCCTCTTGAATAGAGGGATTTTGCATTCTTAATTCATCTTTGGGTATAATAACTTCCTATAAAAATAAAAAAAATTGTAAGGATTTGTATTATTAAAAATAATATTTTTTAAAAAATTATTACCTTATCATCGTCTCCTTTAATTAAAATTCCCTCTTGAGTTTCTTTAACTATATCACCTTCAATCCAACCTTTTTCTTCATTTGGAATCCATACCCTTTCTTTCCCACACATATTATTATCTATCATAGTGTATGTCAAAAAATATTATTACAGATTTAGTTTATAAAAAAATATTATTATATAATGTGTTAGGGGTTATTTATAAAATAGAAAAAAAAAAACAACTATATAATTTTTTAAAAAAATGAAATACTAAAAAAAAAAATAAACAAGCAATAATAATATTTTTATTAATATATATTTTAATTATTAAAATAAATTTTCTTTTATTTAATAAAGCTTATTATATATTTATAAATAACAACACTAAAAAAATGATAATTTTTTTTTATAATAATTTTTCATATATTTATTATTTGTATATATTCTATAATCTATCTTTAATAAAAAAAAACAATATAAATTATAATAAAAAAAAATAAAAAAATGTAAATAAATTAACACACCACATTATTTACGTATTTTTTTATAAAAAATTTATTAAAACCACACAAAATAGCTATGGGGGTGTGGGGGTTAATATGTGTATGAAAATTATTTAAAATATAAATTATTTCTATTTTAAATAAAAAATGTGTGGGTGTGTATTAATGGTATAATATAAATGGTAAACTTTAATAATTAAATGAAATTTAAATAATAATATTTTGAGTGGGGTAGTGGTAATAATAGAGTGGTATATAAATGAAAACAATTGAAGTAAAATTTTAAATGAATAAAATCCAAATTATAAATATAGTGCACACAATATTAGATTATATAATTGTACTCACAAGATGAAGGCAGTGGTGAAAGAGGTGCTAATATATAATAATGAAAAGTAATCTAAGCTTGAAATAAAATTTTTTTTTATTATAAATATTACAGATATATATTTGTTTTTTTTATTTTTTTTTTTATTTTTTTTTTAATTTTTTTTATTCAAATGTTTTTTGATTTTTTGTGGTTATTGTTTATGGTATATATAATGATGATTTAAAAAAAAAATTATTTTTTGTTATTATTATTATTATTATTACTTATTATTATTTAAATTTATTTTGATTTTGATTTTGAGGTTTTTGATTTCATTATTTTTAAGTCATCTTCTTTTTGTGATAATAATTTTTGAATGGCTTTATTTTCTTCATCTAATTTGGAGGCTAAATGTTTAACTTGGTCACCAAATGGTAAACCAGAAACTTCAACGATGATTTGGTCATCGATTGATGAAGATGATGAAGAGTTTTCGACGGTAAGTTTTTGCCATTTAAGGAGATCGTGGACATGTTGATCTAAATTCTTTCTTAATAAACCGAGACCTTGAGCTTCAGCAGCACCTCTTTGACGGGAAGCTTCAATTAGTTGCTCTAATTTTGATTTTTCTTCTGTGGCTTCAGCTAATTTTAATTCGAGGATAGCTCTATCTTTTTCTGTCTTTGCTAAACGAGCTTCTAATTCCATACGAGCGAGTTTTTCTAATTCAAGGTTTTTGAGGGTATCTTCGAGCTTGGCTTCGAGTTCACGTAATCTCTTTTCACGTTCAGCACCTTCGAATTCTAATGAGGCTAATAAGGATTTGAGTTCGTCTTTTTGTTTGATTAATTGTTCACGTGAAACTTTTTCATTTTCGAGTGAGTTTTGGAGACCAGCAAGACGGTTGGCAATTTCATTCTTGCTACTTTCTAAACGTTCTTTTTCTTCTTTGGCACGGTAGGCGTGGAAGAATAATGAGGTGTATAAAACTAATGAACGTTCATCAGTGGTACCTCTCATGACTTCTTCAGCTTCGAGAAGTTTTGGAACACCTAAACCTTTTTCAGCAAAGTCAAAAGCAGCATTTAAACGAGCAATTGGATCGAGTTTGTCAAATTCACCATATTTGAATTGTTCTGGGTCGAATTTGTGTGAAAGGGCTAAAAAGGCTAAACCATCACGGAATGATTTGGTGAATGAAGAAATATTAACACCATCATATCCGGTGGTGGTATTCTTACACCATAATAATAAACCTTCTTCTGATGATTTATCACCTTCACTAATAACTGCAATACGATATTTACGATATAAGGTCCATAAGAAACCAAGAATCATTTTTTTATTGTTATCAACAAAATCTTTTTAAAAAGAAAAAACAAATTAATATTTCTTTTGATTTTAATTATTAAATAAAAATGATGAATAATATTTACCTTCAGCACCAACACCTTGAACTTTAATCTTTAACTCTTCTTCTAAGAATTTAAGAGCAAGTGCAACATTTTGAATGTAGTTGATACGTGATTTTGGTTCGTAATCATATTTCTTGTTGAATTTTTTGCTAGAGATGAGTTCTAAAAAGATGATTAATTTGACACCATCACTTAAATCTTTTGAGACATCTGAAATTTTTTCGCCTCTTTTATCTAAAACTTGAATTTACCCAAGCGGTAAAAGCTTTTCTCTTGTACTATTTCCCAATCTTTTCCTGCCCTCTAATATAAATTAAAATATAATTAGTATATTATAATAATTCAAATAAATAATAAAAAAAAAAAAAATACAATATTATAAAAAATACTATATTTTAAAAAAATAAAGAAAGAAGTAGTTATTGAATCCCCCCATTTTTATTGTTTTTTATATAATTATTGTTTAATGAAGAAAAAAAAATAAAAAATAAAAAATAATTTTCAAATAAAAAGTGGAAAAAAAAAAAAATTTATTTTTAAATACAATAAATATTTTCACATACAACGCCAAAAAAAAAAAAAATTAAAAAAAAAAAAAAAAAAAAAAC